CCTCTCTCTCCCTCTCCCTCTCTCTACTTCTCGCTACCTCTCCCTCTCTCTACCTCTCCCTCTCTCTACCCTCTCTCTCCCTCTCTCTCCCTCTCTCTACCTCTCTCTACCTCTCCCTCTCTCTCTACCTCTCCCTCTCTCTACCTCTCTCTTGTGTGTGCATCCCCTTTGCTGTCTAAGACGTGTAACTAAAACGATTAGGCATCTGTGTTCGTAGGAGGATGCTCTCTCGTCAGCAGCATGGCATGTGGAGGGTTGGATTGACCTGTACCCATGTTTATTAACTGACGGTGGAAATCCCATTGACTCTCACTGAGGCCATGCCACCAGGTATACATGTGGCTAGCTTGAGGATGAGGAAGGGAGTCAGATACTCAAAATAAGAGCTATTGTAGAATCTTCTGAATATTTCACCACAGAATACATTTATATCTGGAAGTGAAATACTGAAAATATGCATCTAGCATTGCTGCAGATGGTGCCAGTCATATCCTGCATAAATGAAGGACTTATAAGGGCCAAAAGGCTTTGCATTTATGCCTATATTTTATCTAAATACGTATGCATATCTAAAATGAGAGAATTATATATGTTTAAGGAAGGTTGGAAGGAATTATGTATTTCTAAAGTATTTGACTAGGGCTTGAGACTAGTCTACACACTAATTTACGGTTCAAGGTCAAAAGGTCATGGTGCATCCCAGATTCTGATACCTGCTGAGAAAGACCTAGGGTCATGATCGACTCAATGACAGAAACACCATGAATATCCAGACATCTCTAAGAACTGTTCATGCTGAGCTCATTTCTGCTTCCTCTTTCTCTCTCCCTCGCTTCCAGGCTCATCTCTCTCTCTTTTTCTTGTTCTCTACTCTCTCTCTCCCATGCTCCTCTCTTCTTCTCTCTATCTTCTCCATAGCTCATTTTTGTACTTTTGGCAAAGTGCAGCAGGTAGTGCAGGCAGCACAAAACTTTCTCCTATCCACAAAACTTTGAAAAATGGCAGCAGTCACGCCTCTTAGACACAGTGTATGGAAGCCCTAACAAAAGAGCACATTTAGATATTCTCAGAAGGGGGAAGAAACTTTGGGCTGCACTATCTGATAGAAACACATCCCATGGAGTGAGTGAATAATGTACTGCCAGCGCCTCCACATTGACAAATGCTGCTTGGGAACACTGTGCATTAGAGCGATATTAAAGTCAGAGAAAAGCAGAGTTGATGCGGGGAAGAGAAGGAGAGAAGACTGAGGAGTGCATAGGGAGGGTGAATATAGTCTTATTTTCCCATTGTTTCTCCCATAATCATGCTTACCTCTAAAACCTAATGAAATGAGAGGCAACACAAGCTGACTGTAGTTTTGTTATTTCCCACAACACATAAAACCATTAGCAGGCTTTTTCCTCTCTCTGGATCCGCACGCACGCACACACACTCTATCTGTGACAAACAGGACAGGAGCCAGGAGACTCAGCTTATTCCCCAGGCTACGACTTATCTCTCTCTTTCTCACTATCTATCTCTCCCTCTCGCTCTCTCTGCCTCTGTCTATCTCCCTCTCTTTCAATGTGTCTGCCTCTCTCTGTGTCATTTAAACATCTCTCTCTTTTACATTTTTGTCATTTAGCAGACGCTCTTATCCAGAGCGACTTACAGTTAGTGAGTGCATACATTATTTTTCATACTGGCCCCCTGTGGGAATCAAACCCACAACCCTGGCGTTGCAAACACCATGCTCTACCAACTGAGCTACATCCCTGCCGGCCATTCCCTCCCCGCTGGCCATTCCCTCCCCTACCCTGGACGACGCTGGGCCAATTGTGCGCCGCCCCATGGGTCTCCCGGTCGCGGCCGGCTACGACAGAGCCTGGATTCGAATCAGGATCTCTAGTGGCACAGCTAGCACTGCGATGCAGTGCCTTAGACCACTGCGCCACTTTTCCCTCCATAAATCTTCCCTCAACTGTTACTGCTGTTCTCTTGTCTCCCTGTACTGTATATTATTGCCCTGAGGCTCCCACTACCACTCTCTCAACCTCCATTAGACTCCCTCTCTTCTCCTTCTCTTTACCTTTCACTCTTTTCACCCCTCCATCACTCCCATACGGTTCTCTCCTTTGTTGATGAAACTGACGCCCTTTCTCGGTAGCGCTCCCCCTCCCTCTTTCCCTCCCTCCATCTCTCCCTCTCTTCCCTGCTGTAAGTGATCACACTGTTTATATGGCCTGTTTCTTTTATCCAATTTCACACTTCCAGGCTTGTTTACCAGCTATGGGAGCCACATAAAGCTGCAGTGCCCTTTTCGCTCCAGTCCCCCGCCTCCCTCCTCCTCCTCCCTCCATTCTTTTCTCCACCATTCTGCCATCAACCCTGCCCCACCCCCTCTCCATCAACCCTGCCATAACTATAAAGCTGAGCTCACTTCCCTGTTTTCCAATGAATGTGATTAGCCTGCTATTTTCTCTGGCCAGGCTTGATTTAGATTCAACAATATGTCACTTTACTGGCGTCACAGATCTGTTATGTGTCTGTCTGTCACTCTGCTAAAGAGAAACAACTCAACACAACACAATTCTCAACACAACACAATGCTGTATCAAGGACCAATGTAGGAGTGGATAGGAGAAAGACTCCACCTTCTCTCCACAATGTATTGCTTACCAAAAGACAGAGGAAATAACTGAGCTGGCACTGTCAAGGTCAACAGTTAGTGCTCCAATGGTTGTAAAACAGATTTATGCTATTCTTATCAACCATGCCATCATTTCCAGAATGCAGCATACAGTAAATATATACAGTAAATATATACAGTAAATATGAGAAATATGTTTTGCAGCTGAGAAGCCATCTGAAGTGAAGACCAAGGACGCCAGTGAGTGTATCTTCTGAAGAGGAAACCAATTACTACTGAGGTGAACAATTACTACTGAGGTGACACTAAGTGAAATCTGTCTGTGACATGGTGTCATAGTTTTTCTGTGACACGTGCACACGTAACCATGACACACTACACAACGTGAGTTATATGGTGCTGCTGCATCATGCAGCTTGGGGCGTGGTGACCTCAGCGTGAGTGTTGGCTCATCTGTTACATACTGTAGCTAGTTCACTGAGAGTGATGAGAGGAATATCACAACCCACAACTCACTGTATTAACATAAAATACTCGCCAGGCTGCACTATGTGTAGAACAGGCATGGCAGACTCAAAGGGTGTCTACAATATATTACATACATCACTACTGTAGTACTAACAGTACTAGTATTTTCAGTTTGATTCTACATGGGATGTACATGTATCTGGGGGATGGTAATACAGTATGGAAGTTGTGTTTGTGACAGGACTACAGTATATACACTGCTCAAAAAAATTAAGGGAACACTTAAACAACACAATGTAACTCCAAGTCAATCACACTTCTGTGAAATCAAACTGTCCATTTAGGAAGCAACACTGATTGACAATAAATTTCACATGCTGTTGTGCAAATGTAATAGACAACAGGTGGAAATTATAGGCAATTAGCAAGAAACCCCCAATAAAGAAGTGGTTCTGCAGGTGGTGACCACAGACCACTTCTCAGTTCCTATGCTTCCTGGCTGATGTTTTGGTCACTTTTGAATGCTGGCGGTGCTTTCACTCTAGTGGTAGCATGAGACGGAGTCTACAACCCACACAAGTGGCTCAGGTAGTGCAGCTCATCCAGAATGGCACATCAATGCGAGCTGTGGCAAGAAGGTTTGCTGTGTCTGTCAGCGTGGTGTCCAGAGCATGGAGGCGCTACCAGGAGACAGGCCAGTACATCAGGAGATGTGGAGGAGGCCGTAGGAGGGCAACAACCCAGCAGCAGGACCGCTACCTCCGCCTTTGTGCAAGGAGGAGCAGGAGGAGCACTGCCAGAGCCCTGCAAAATGACCTCCAGCAGGCCACAAATGCGCATGTGTCTGCTCAAACGGTCAGAAACAGACTCCATGAGGGTGGTATGAGAGCCCGACGTCCACAGGTGGGGGTTGTGCTTACAGCCCAACACCGTGCAGGACGTTTGGCATTTGCCAGAGAACACCAAGATTGGCAAATTCGCCACTGGCGCCCTGTGCTCTTCACAGATGAAAGCAGGTTCACACTGAGCACATGTGACAGACGTGACAGAGTCTGGAGACGCCGTGGAGAACGTTCTGCTGCCTGCAACATCCTCCAGCATGACCGGTTTGGCGGTGGGTCAGTCATGGTGTGGGGTGGCATTTCTTTGGGGGGCCGCACAGCCCTCCATGTGCTCGCCAGAGGTAGCCTGACTGCCATTAGGTACCGAGATGAGATCCTCAGACCCCTTGTGAGACCATATGCTGGTGCGGTTGGCCCTGGGTTCCTCCTAATGCAAGACAATTCTAGACCTCATGTGGCTGGAGTGTGTCAGCAGTTCCTGCAAGAGGAAGGCATTGATGCTATGGACTGGCCCGCCCATTCCCCAGACCTGAATCCAATTGAGCACATCTGGGACATCATGTCTCGCTCCATCCACCAATGCCACGTTGCACCACAGACTGTCCAGGAGTTGGCGGATGCTTTAGTCCAGGTCTGGGAGGAGATCCCTCAGGAGACCGCCACCTCATCAGGAGCATGCCCAGGCGTTGTAGGGAGGTCATACAGGCACGTGGAGGCCACACACACTACTGAGCCTCATTTTGACTTGTTTTAAGGACATTACATCAAAGTTGGATCAGCCTGTAGTGTGGTTTCCACTTTAATTTTGAGGGTGACTCCAAATCCAGACCTCCATGGGTTGATAAATTTGATTTCCCCATTGATAATTTTTGTGTGATTTTGTTGTCAGCACATTCAACTATGTAAAGAAAAAAGTATTTAATAAGATTATTTCATTCATTCAGATCTAGGATGTGTTGTTTAAGTGTTCCCTTTATTTTTTTGAGCAGTGTATACAGAATAGATGAGGAGTAGTGGTTGTTACTTACAGACTCGTGGTCTTTAAGGGCAGCCAGAACGAAACAGAGGTACTGCTGCTGTCCCGGTAGAGGCTTGTTGTAGAAGCCGTTGTACTTCTTTTCGTCTCCTAGAGTGAAGGTGTCTGGCAGAGCAGTCATCTTGGCAGCGATGTAGGGTCTGAGGAACTCTTGGGTCTGTCTCCTCCTCCTCAGGCTCTGGTCAGAACTAGCCTCCAGGAGCTGACATGACGTCACAGAGAGATTACTTTGTGCAGCCCAAATGGTACCCTATTTCCTAAATAGTGCACTACATTTGACCAGGGCCCACCCAGTATACTATGTAGGGAATAGGGTGCTAATTGGGACAGCCTTAGACTCAAAGATACACAATCTCCTACTTTTGTGCCCTTTAGCAAGGCACTTAACCCCAAACTGGACAAATTGATAATAAAGTTGTGTTCTATTGTATAGACAGTAAATAGTCAGTTATATAGAACACACACACATACTGTACACATCAAATAAATGTACGCTCATAAACTGTGTCCATAGGCTACAATGAATTGTGCTTCTAGGCTCACAGGTGGGTTAAAATCTCATATTGCAAATGAAGCATAGAGTAGTTAAAGTTTTATAACACCTTGGTCCTGCAGTCAGACAGACTGTAAAATAACTGTTCCTCTCTAACAACTCTCACCTCTCTCTGACCTGCAGCTGTGGTGAGAGATCACAGCTTAATTAGATAGCCTCTGGTGTGTGTGTCTTCCTGTGTGTGTGTGTTCCTGTGTGTGCTCATGCACGTTTGTTCCTGTGTGTGTGAGTGTGTTCCCATCTGTATGTGTTCCCATCTGTGTGTGTTCCCATCTGTGTGTGTGAGGTATAATTAATTTACTACCTCCGATGGAGAAATGGGGTAGATGTGCGTCTCTGTAGATTGTTTGACTCATCTCTTCTCCACCTGCCTCTTCAGTAGGCATCTTACTACGTCTATCTGTCTCTATCTAGCTCTGTCTGTTTGTCTGTTTCTGTCTCAACTCTACCAGGGGCTACTGCACTGCAAGCACTTCATGGTCAAGCTAGCACAATAAACAGACAAACAGAATTACCATCGTCCCTTTGAAAATGATGGGATACGATGCTTGAGACGTTCTACAATTCTACAGTTCCTGGAAAGTCCATATCAAATTGTGATGTAAACTGGCCATGTGACCTTATCCCTGGCCATTAACTGTATCCCTCCTCACCACTCTGTATTACAACGGGAAGAGGATGTACTCAGAGAGAATGTCTGAGGCATTCTACAGTTCTGCTGATTCCTAGAAAGTCAACATGACATTTTTATGTATACCACCCCTACAACCTTGTTCCCCGCTGTTCAATAAAACTTCAACCAACCCACTTCCTACAGAAAACACAATTTCTCTAGCCTATAAAACTGCAGCAATGGCAATGACTTAGATGACAATAAAAAGAAAAACGCTTTGACAATGAGAAAGCAGATCTTGCTGTCTCAAAGATGCTTTGTTTGGATCCAGGTATATTTACTTAACACGCTCTTATATTTTTGGATATTCAAGACGCTGCCTTCTTTTTTCTGCAGACGACAGTAGATTGAGAGAAAGCTAACTCATGAGAAAGCATAAGAAGGTATTGAAGCCCAAAAGGTCTACATTAATAACACAAAACAAAAAATGCTATAGCAGATTTTCATGAGTGTTTTAAGTGTCTCAAGAACTCAAGAGAGGCAGAACTTGAAATAAAACATCTAAAGTGTATTGTTTAAACGGAAATCACCATCTTGCACAGAGAAACCGATTTACATAGTGAAAGCTGAGAATAGTGTAATCAGGGGGGCAGAGATACAAGACGCTACATATTTAATGGTCTTGGTGCTATGGAAGACTTTTATTTGATCTGTGTCCAGAGAAAGTGCTGTTGACACACACACACACACACACACACACAAACACACACAAACGCACGCACCTCATCCAGGTCCATATCTTCAGGGTTCTCCCACCTACGTAGCGTGGCTGGTGTGACAGGGACCACCACTATGTAGTACCATCTGTAGAGGGAGAGACAGGCAGGGTAAGCAAGATCAGGGTGTGTGTGAATAAGTGAGTGAGTGAGTGTGTGTGTGTGTGGGAGTGAGTGTGGTTGCGTGTGTGTGTAACACAGTTTCTCTTTGGGTAAGCCTGAGCATGTCTCAGATATCTGTTTCATCACATGCAGGCTCCGCTAAGGCCACAATCCATTCTCCACAGCCAGAAGTACTCAAACATAGAAATATCTCGCTATACAGTGGGGGAAAAAAGTATTTAGTCAGCCACCAATTGTGAAAGTTCTCCCACTTAAAAAGATGAGAGAGGCCTGTAATTTTCATCATAGGTACACGTCAACTATGACAGACAAAATGAGAAAAGAAAATCCTGAAAATCACATTGTAGGATTTTTTATGAATTTATTTGCAAATTATGGTGGAAAATAAGTATTTGGTCAATAACAAACGTTTCTCAATACTTTGTTATATACCCTTTGTTGGCAATGACACAGGTCAAACGTTTTCTGTAAGTCTTCACAAGGTTTTCACACACTGTTGCTGGTATTTTGGCCCATTCCTCCATGCAGATCTCCTCTAGAGCTGTGATGTTTTGGGGCTGTCGCTGGGCAACACGGACTTTCAACTCCCTCCAAAGATTTTCTATGGGGTTGAGATCTGGAGACTGGCTAGGCCACTCCAGGACCTTGAAATGCTTCTTACGAAGCCACTCCTTCGTTGCCCGGGCGGTGTGTTTGGGATCATTGTCATGCTGAAAGACCCAGCCACGTTTCATCTTCAATGCCCTTGCTGATGGAAGGAGGTTTTCACTCAAAATCTCACGATACATGGCCCCATTCATTCTTTCCTTTACACGGATCAGTCGTCCTGGTCCCTTTGCAGAAAAACAGCCCCTTGTTTCCACCCCCATGCTTCACAGTAGGTATGGTGTTCTTTGGATGCAACTCAGCATTCTTTTTGAGTTTTTACCAAAAAGTTCTATTTTGGTTTCATCTGACCATATGCCATTCTCCCAATCCTCTTCTGGATCATCCAAATGCACTCTAGCAAACTTCAGACGGGCCTGGACATGTACTGGCTTAAGCAGGGGGACACGTCTGGCACTGCAGGATTTGAGTCCCTGGCGGCGTAGTGTGTTACTGATGGTAGGCTTTGTTACTTTGGTTCCAGCTCTCTGCAGGTCATTCACTAGGTCCCCCCGTGTGGTTCTGGGATTTTTGCTCACCGTTCTTGTGATCATTTTGACCCCACGGGGTGAGATCTTGCGTGGAGCCCCAGATCGAGGGAGATTATCAGTGGTCTTGTATGTCTTCCATTTCCTAATAATTGCTCCCACAGTTGATTTCTTCAAACCAAGCTGCTTACCTATTGCAGATTCAGTCTTCTCAGCCTGGTGCAGGTCTACAATTTTGTTTCTGGTGTCCTTTGACAGCTCTTTGGTCTTGGCCATAGTGGAGTTTGGAGTGTGACTGTTTGAGGTTGTGGACAGGTGTCTTTTATACTGATAACAAGTTCAAACAGGTGCCATTAATACAGGTAACGAGTGGAGGACAGAGGAGCCTCTTAAAGAAGAAGTTACAGGTCTGTGAGAGCCAGAAATCTTGCTTGTTTGTAAGTGACCAAATACTTATTTTCCACCATAATTTGCAAATAAATTCATTAAAAATCCTACAATGTGATTTTCTGGATTTTTTTTTCTCAATTTGTCTGTCATAGTTGACGTGTACCTATGATGAAAATTACAGGCCTCTCTCATCTTTTTAAGTGGGAGAACTTGCACAATTGGTGGCTGACTAAATACTTTTTTTCCCCACTGTATATATACTCTCTCATCCCCAATAATTAATGGCCGGAAAATGTAAATACTGATTGTATTGTTAAATGAGTTTTCTGTTTTTACCACTCCTGCTGGCGCTGCTTATTAAGGCTTAGTAGTTCCTGTTTCCTTAGAGAAACAAACACATGAAGAAATGTCTTTCTGCTGTATTGGGAGAGTAGCACAAAGCTACTGTAAAGATGGGTATTCTTACTAGCACAGATTTTTCAGATAAAGGCTATTTTTGAAGGTTTTCACTAGCAATTATTGCAGCCTAATCTGGGACAAGGCCAGACTACATCCCTAATAGGGTTTTCCCTCTACTGCTCTACCACTGAGAATAAATGTGAAAATAACAAGGCGTTATGAACTGTGTAGAAGACAAGGATGGATATGAAGGCAAAGGAGTTGTTCTCCATGTAGACGGCCCCGGCGGACACAGCTTCTCTGTGTGTGTGTGTGTCTGAGGCTATTGATTTAGCATTAACATTAAAGGCCATGTTGTTTTCTGTGTGTCTGGTGAGGAAAGCCTCCTTCTAAAGTCCAGCCAGCTCAGCCTCTCAAAACTCTGCTGTGCGTCATCCACTCTCTGTCTAAATCCTCTCTCAGCTCCTTACAAAGTGCTGGGTATTACTTTTAACAGTATGGCTCTGTGAGATATGGCCTGCAGCCAGAGAGATGAATGGATGACGTAGCACAACTTCCACCTAGACAACATACAATAGCAACACTTCACAAAGCCTTCTCTATCCCCTGCTGTTCTTAAGGAGATAGTTGGGATAGTGGTGGTGGAGGATTCATGTTGTTGTATGCAACGATAGTGAGTACAGGATGAGGTGTATAATACTAGCAGTAGCACTAATAAATAATATTAATAGCTATAGGGTTTGAGAAAGCCCCGTTGTATTCAGTGGACTGAAGACTAAGGAACAATCGCCCCAGGTCCTCGTTTAGAGGAATGGTGACATAGCAGCTGACAGTGATTTAGCACAAACAATTATAACCATTCCTCAACACACACACACCAGCATTGACCAGGAAGGAAGGTGGTGATAGCCCTAGTTGTAGCAGTGACACTAATGGTAATGGTGATAGACACAACAGACCTGACAGGGGCGGTGGTGGGGACTTTGGGCAGGGTGATGGTGAGCCTGCCCCCCTCCTCTAGGTCGGGTTGGTATTGGATGGGTTTGGTCTTGAGCAGGTCTGGGGCGGTCCTGATGGAGACCTGCTGCTGTAGACCTCCAGCACTGTTCCCTCTAGACATCAACACAAAGCTGTAGTCTGTGTCTGGCTGGAGACGACTTATCAGCTTTCTCTTCAGGTTCCCCTGCACCTCCACACTCTGCTGGTTATACAGGATCTAGATAGAGATAGAGACACAGAGAGGAGTGTTACACACACACACACACACACACCCACACACTCACATACACCAGTGGCGGCTGGTGGGAGGAGCTATAAGAGGACGGGCTCATTGTAATGGCTGGAATGGAATAAATGGAACAGTATCAAACGCATCAAACATATGGAAACCACATGTTTGACTCCATCCAAATATTCCATTTCAGCCATTACAATGAGTGCATCCACCTATAGCTCCTCCCACCAGCCTCCACTGCCTCTCTCTCTCTCTCTCCTGGTTGTATACATTCTGACCAACAGGGGGTGCTCTGGTCAATGACTTTCACACTGACCACCTCTTGGTCATTACAAAGGTCAGGCATACAATGAAGTCTCTATCATATTCATTGGCAATAGTGAAATGGTATACAATTCTACTTTCTTGTGATTGTATCCCCCCCCTTTTCCTTTCTACCTCAGGAGAGGTATGGGCCATGTGTGATGAGGTATGTCAAAGCCTGATTGATGATTTCCAGCATCTCCATATCCTACAGTACCTTATGTCCATATCCTACAGTACCTTATGTCCATACCCTACAGTACCTTATGTCCATACCCTACAGTACCTTATGTCCATATCCTACAGTACCTTATGTCCATATCCTACAGTACCTTATGTCCATACCCTACAGTATCTTATGTCCATATATCCTACAGTACCTTATGTCCATATCCTACAGTACCTTATGTCCATACCCTACAGTACCTTATGTCCATATCCTACAGTACCTTATGTCCATACCCTACAGTACCTTATGTCCATATCCTACAGTATCTTATGTCCATATCCTACAGTATCTTATGTCCATATATCCTACAGTACCTTATGTCCATACCCTACAGTACCTTATGTCCATACCCTACAGTACCTTATGTCCATATCCTACAGTACCTTATGTCCATACCCTACAGTACCTTATGTCCATATCCTACAGTATCTTATGTCCATATCCTACAGTACCTTATGTCCATACCCTACAGTACCTTATGTCCATATCCTACAGTACCTTATGTCCATATCCTACAGTACCTTATATCCATACCCTACAGTACCTTATGTCCATATCCTACAGTACCTTATGTCCATATCCTACAGTACCTTATATCCATACCCTACAGTACCTTATGTCCATACCCTACAGTACCTTATGTCCATATCCTACAGTACCTTATGTCCATATCCTACAGTACCTTATATCCATACCCTACAGTACCTTATGTCCATATCCTACAGTACCTTATGTCCATATCCTACAGTACCTTATATCCATATCCTACAGTACCTTATGTCTATATCCTACAGTACCTTATGTCCATATCCTACAGTACCTTATGTCCATACCCTACAGCACCTTATGTCCATACCCTACAGTACCTTATGTCCATACCCTACAGTACCTTATGTCCATACCCTACAGTATCTTATGTCCATACCCTACAGTACCTTATGTCCATACCCTACAGTACCTTATGTCCATATCCTACAGTACCTTATGTCCATATATCTTACAGTACCTTATGTCCATACCCTACAGTATCTTATGTCCATACCCTACAGTACCTTATGTCCATACCCTACAGTATCTTATGTCCATATCCTACAGTACCTTATGTCCATACCCTACAGTACCTTATGTCCATACCCTACAGTATCTTATGTCCATACCCTACAGTACCTTATGTCCATACCCTACAGTACCTTATGTCCATATCCTACAGTACCTTATGTCCATGGAACGGTAATTTCACCACTACTCCCTCAACAATTAGTACAGATGAAAGTCACACTACCTGACGTGAGACAATGACTCCTGTCAGGTTGAAGATGTCCTTCCTGACTTACCTTGAAAGGCACTTGAGACTTGTATGTTTCTGGCACTTCCCAAGTCAGCAGGACAGAGGTCTTCATCACAGCTTTCACACCAAAGTTTTTGGTGAACTCTGGGGGAGTTGGAGGAGGGAGAAGGGGACACACACACACACACACACACACACACCACACACACACACACACAGAGGATGAATTATAAACGAGCAATGTCATCTGTACTTCCTGTATAATGACAGCTAGGGCAACCCTAGAGCATCCTGGAAGATCAGTGCTACATTAATAGTAGTAGACAGTAGGAGCAGACAGGGTTTAAGATAGATAGCTGACAAACAGCTTATGAAACATCTCTCTGAAGACAAAACGATTGTCTAATAGTCAAAGTTCTCGGACCTGTACTTTTTAATGGTCATATTAAGGGATGTTATTGCATTTACACTTTAACACCAAGGCTACTCATATGAGCTTTACTCTACATTAAACTTTACTATAGACACGTGCACACACGCACACAGACACACACACACGCACACACACGCACAAACACACAGACACACACACACACACACACACACACACAGACATGCGCACCGCACACACACAGTAGTATGAAGGTGCTAACTGGCACTTTGAAGCTTGACTATAAATAGCTAGCAGCAGGGGGATAAACATGTATTTATGTACCCTAATAACATGAAAGGAGTGTTCCCTGGTACTGCTGTATCACAGGAGGCTGCTGAGGGGAGGACGGCTCATAATAATGGCCGGAATGGAGCGAAACCATGTGTTTGATGTATTTGATACCATTCCACTCCAGCCAATACCATGAGCCTGTCTTCCCCAATTAAGCTACCACCAAACTCCTCTGTGCTTTACTGGTTACGCTGGACTGGTTCTGCCAGTTGCCACCAGCTTCCACACACACAGCTACGCATATGTTCCTCTCACATACCATCTGCTCTGTCTGTGCCAGAGAGACTGGATGTATGTGTGTGTGTGTGTGTGTGTGTGTGTGTGTGTGTGTGTGTGTGTGTGTGTGTGTGTGTGTGTGTGTGTGTGTGTGTGTGTGTGTGTATGAGTGAGTGTGTTTGCATGAATATGTGGGTCTGGTGTGTCTGCACCTGTGTAAGACTATTTATTCAGATCAGCAGAGCTCACGAGGCATGGAGGTAGACACGATCATGCCCTCTTTGGATGTGTCGGTTCCCCCAACCTTTGGGCTTGCATGCAATGATCCCTGGTGCATAATGCGTGTACTCAAGCAATGGGGGGTGCAACAGAGTTTGTGTGTGAGTGTCTGTATGTGAACAGTATATGTGAGTGCTCACCGGGCATGGAGGTAGACATGGTCCTACTCTGTATACTAGGACTGTTGGGTCCTGGTCCCTTGCTGGTGAAAGCCCTGACCCTGATGTCATAGGTGGTATCAGGCTGCAGCCCCATGATGGTCATCTGGGTCTCTGTCGTGCTGTTGAGATAGAAACAATAAGATAAAATTTTTAGCATTTTAATAACAACAAGCATTTTACTGTGTTTGTGTCATCAGAACTCCTTACAGAACATAAAATCCAACAAAATGCTTGGGCAGGGAACTGTACAGGGGACTGTGCCCAAATGTCACCATATTCCCTACACAGTGCACTAGTTTTGACCAGAGCCCTATGGCCACTACATAGGGAATAGGGTGCCATTTGGGACACAGCCATGATTTACATGAGTAGTGAATAAAGTAAATAATCCTAATAATACCTATTGGTGTGGTTCTGTTGACTGTTGATATCTCTGTACACCACCACGTACTGGACGATCCTCCCGTTCCTCTCAGCCAGCGCTGGAGGCTCCCAGGCAAGCTTGGTAGTAGTCGTGGTCAGGCCTACGACACTCAGGTTCTGGGGGTAACTACTGGGCACATCGTCCGGCGTCGTAATCTCCTTCACATACTCCTCGCCGGTGCCCGCTCGGTTCTTGGCGCAGAGCTTGAAGACGTACGTGGCGCCCTTGTGCAGGCCGGTGACAGTGAAGTGGTCGTCTGTCTTCTTAAAGTCCTTTACAGTGAACGACTCCTCCTCCATGCGTTTGTACTGCAGCTGGTAGCCAACATGCTCTCCCACCATCTCCTTCGGAGGTTGCCACTGGATGAGGGCTGTGTTACCGATGGTGGTGCTGATCATCATAGTGGGCCTGCTAGGGACTAACGGGCAGAGAGAGAGATTAGGATGATTAGCATAATGACATAGAACACACTTACTAATGACACAGAACACACATACTAATGACACAGAACACTTAAATGATTACTACCACTCCACTATTATTCAGTATTACCATAAGTTACTACTATAAAACGTTGCTATACTGGACAATTACTGCTGTTCCTCTGACCATTAAGACCATGGGGGGACCAGTGGACTATAAGGACCTGCTGATGTCTGGGTCCGAAATGTCTCCCCATTCCCTGTATCCCTTTAGTTGTTTTATTTTAGGAACTCAGTCGGCGTCTCAACTTACTGTTGACAGTTAGAATAATAGAATACACAAGGTGCAATTTCAAAATGTGGTTGTGCATCAGCAGTCACTCAATCAGCCCATGTCAGCAATTTTCTTTTAGATTCGTAAGTTAGTCTAGCGGCCAGCTATCTAAACTTGTAGTAAGCATGGTCGAATTACCGACCAGGGTGGGTCCATTGATCATCAGTTTTTTAGCTCCACCATATGGCAAAATGTGTAGAATTGCATGAAATGAACTGTAAAACTGCACATTTATCTCTCCGTTCCATGGCAAAATGAGTAGAATTGCATGAAATTAGTTATAAAATTGCAAAATCTTATTTCTGCCCCATGGCAACATGTGCAGTATTGCAGCAAACTTGCTTTAAAACGGCAACATTTTCTCTACGCCCCATGGCAAAATGTGCAGAATTTTTGTAAATGAACTTTAAAACATGTTTATTTTGTAAATTTTTTGGGGTATGCAGACCCATGAGCCACTGCGGCCCCTCATGATGAGTTCCGTTTTTTTGTGTCCCCCATCAAAGTTGCCCATCCCTGCCCTATATAGTGCACTACTTTTAACCAGAGTCTTATGGGTCTTGGTCAAAAGTAGTGTACTATATGAGGAATAGGGTGCCATTTGGGAGGCAGCCATAGTGTGTAGTCAGAGTAAGAGGGTAGTTTCAGGTCAAGCCAGTTAAAGTGAGTACTACTGTTCTATTTGTAGTGATGACTGCAGTGACGTTATCACGGAAACTTACACCGGGACTACTTCTTCTCAACCACTGACACCTCTAGGAACACTGAACTTTCAATGAACTCAACTTCCCATGCTCTCTCTAAAAAACTAAAACCCTCACAGGCCATAACTTACACAGTCCTGTCACTGTCACACTAGGAGGCTGTTGTTGCCTTTATTAATAAATACACAATGAGTAACGATAACTTGGCTATATACACGGTGTACACGGTGTACCATGACAGAGTCGATGTGCAGGGGTACATGGTAATTGAGGAAGATATGTACATATAACTAGGAAGTGATTAGGCAACAGGATAGATAATAAACACTAGCAGCAGCATATGTGATGAGTTAAAAAAGTTAGTTCGAAAAGGGTCAATGCAGATAGTTAAATAGTTAACCAAATAGCTACCCGGACTAACTATTTAGCAGTCTTATGGCTTGGGGGTAGAAGCTGTTCAGGGTCCTGTTGGTTCCAGACTGCATCGGTACCGCTTGCCGTGCGGTAGCATAGAGAACAGTCTATGACTTGGTTGGCTGGAGTCTTTGACAATTTTTAGGGCCTTCCTCTGACACTGCCTGGTATAGAGGTCCTGGATGGCAGGTAGCTCGGCCCCAGTGATGTACTGGGCCGTACGCACCTCCCTCTCTAGCGCCTTGCGGTCAGATGCCAAGCAGTTGCCATACCAAGCAGTGATTCAGCCAGTCAATATGCTCTCAATGGTGCAGCTGTATAACTTTTTTGAGGATCTGAGGGCCCATGCCAAATCTTTTCAGCCTCCTGAGAAGGAAGAGGCATTGTCGTGCCCTCTTCACGACTGTGTTGGTGTGTGGACCATGATAAATCCTTAGTGATGTGGACACCGAGGAACTCGACCCGCTCCACAACAGCCCTGTCAATGTGAATGCGGGCGTGCTCGGCCCTCAGTTTCCTGTAGTCCACGATCAGCTCCTTTGTCTTGCTGACATTGAGGGAGAGGTTGTTGTCCTGGCACCACACTGCCAGGTCTCTGACCTCCTCCCTATAGGCTGCCTCATCACTGTTGGTAATCAGGCCTACCACCGTCATTTATGTGTTCAGTCCCAGGGTCCTTAGCTTAGTGATGAGCTTGGAGGGCACTATGGAACGATGAGCTGTAGTCAATGAACAGCATTCTCACATAGGTGTTCCTCTTGTCCAGGTGGGAGACGGCAGTGTGGAGTACAATAGAGATTGCATCATCTGTGGATCTGTTGGGGCGGTATGTGAATTGGAGTGGGTCCAGGGTGTCTGGCCCTCCTGTAGCTCAGTTGGTAGAGCATGGCACTTGCAACGCCAGGGTTGTGGGTTCGATTCCCATGGGGGGCCAGTATGAAAAATTTATGCACTCACTAACTGTAAGTCGCTCTGGATAAGAGCGTCTGCTAAATGACTAAACATGTAAAATGATGTTGTTGTGAACCATGACCTGCCTTCCATAGCATTTCATGGCTACAGATGTGAGTGCTATGGGGCGATAGTCATTTAGACAGGTTACCTTGGCGTTCTTGGGCACAGGGACTATGGTGGCCTGCTTGAAACATGCAGGTATTACAGACTGGGTCAGGGAAGACACGTGCCAGCTGGTCAGCGCAGTTTGTGTGTGTGTGAGTGTGTGTGTGTGTGGCTGTACACACCTGCTCCTGTGGTGGTGACCACCTTGGCCTTACTGCGTGCCCCATCCCCCTTGGTGGTGTAGGCTGCCACGGTGACAGAGTAGGTGGTCTCAGGGAGCAGGCCTGTTATAACAGCTTCCTGGGGGAGAGAAAAGTTTAAACAGTCTGGGTCAGGCTAACGCTATAAAGACGGCTAACACAATGGCCGAGCCTTCACCCACTGTACTGTGTTGAGTCCACTCCGGGAGGGTTAGGCACTCAAGCGCACACACACACACACACACACACTCCATACGTCAGTGTAGTATTTTAAACACTCCCAAGGCATTGATTTAAAACACCATACGTTAAAATAGCATTTTAAACACTCCCAAGGCATTGACGTTCTTTTTGAGAAATGGTTACAGAGAGGGTAAAAGATCTGCCTTCAACAAGATCTGTCCTCAACAATATATGTCCTCAAGATGATCCTCAACAAGATCTGTCCTCAACAAGATCTGTCCTCAAGATCTTCTGTACTCAAGATGATCTTTAACTAGATCTGTCCTCAACAACATCTGTCCTCAACAACATCTGTCCTCAAGATGATCCTCAACATGATCTGTCCACAACAAGATCTGTCCTCAAGATCTGCTGTCCTCGAGATGCTGCCTCTACTTGTTCTACACAAATAAGAGCTGCATATACAATATTAGTTACTGTGTGTCTGTGTCCCTTAGACGTTTGATTGCATTGTCTGATGGTTGAATCATTTCCTGTATTTTACAACTTGCCCCAAACAAGGTTTTTGAAAGAAATTAAATAAATATTGTCTGTGTGAATGAAAAAGTAAAAAGGTAAAGTGCTGTTGTCATAAACAGACATTTTAGAGCTGGATAGTATTCAGTCTCAGTACTGTCTCATTTTACTGTGTCTCAGTACTGTCTCATTTTACTGTGTCTCAGTACTGTGTCTCATTTTACTGTGTCTCAGTACTGTGTCTCATTTTACTGTGTCTCAGTACTGTGTCTCATTTTACTGTGTCTCAGTACTGTGTCTCATTTTACTGTGTCTCAGTACTGTGTCTCATTTTACTGTGTCTCAGTACTGTGTCTCATTTTACTGTGTCTCAGTACTGTGTTTCAGTACGGTGTCTCAGTACTGTGTCTCAGTACTGTGTCTCAGTACGGTGTCTCAGTACTGTGTCTCAGTCATTTTGTAAATATTTATCTACTCATTCTTCATTAGATATACTGGGGAATATTAAAGGATAATTTCACAATTTAGGAACCTAATATGTGTGTTTGATGTAAATGGCATGTTGTAGAAGTGTCCAGAAACTTTTTTTACAATTTCACTTAGTTTTGAGAAATTTACCCAAGCAGCGATTGACTTGCTGAGCCTCAAATTAGATACAGATTAGGTTCCAAAATAGTGACATTCTCTTTTAATATAGGTGGTATACAGCCCAAAAACACAAATACCAGTGTTGAATTATTACAACCCAAATAAAGTCACAGCCTTGATCCCTGAGTCTTGCACGCTACTCTCTTTTGACCAGGTCCCATATGGCTTTGGTCAAAAGTAGTGCACTATGTAGGGAATAGGGCACCATTTGGGACACAAACCTAGTCAGACACTCTTGAAGATACGCCCCCAGTCAAAATGTTCAGAGTTGTTCCCTGTCTCTCTCTCTGACTGGCCAGAACCACAGCCTTTAAAGCAGTTTGTCTCCAACTGTCAAGTGTAGGCTATAATAAGCAAACCACATTGAGCACACCACAATTAAAACCCAAGCACACATACACAAACCACACAAAATACACACCCATGATGCAAATTAAAACTTGAGATCTCTCTTTCACACACGCACACACACGCACGCACACACGCATGCACACACACACACACCCATCACGCAAATTAAAACTTGAGATCTCTCTTTCACACACGCACACACACGCACGCACGTACGCACCCACACACACACACACACACACACACACACCCATCACACACATCGCAAGTTCCTCTCAGTTTCAAAAGGAACTCATTAAAATGTCGACACCTAAAGAGCCGGAGCTCCTTTGAGCCCATAAAAGAGTTGGAGAGTTTCTTTCTCCTCTGACTGAGCAGGGGATCCAATTCCTCCAGGGCTGATGAGATGAGCGAGAGAGCGGTGGAGAGGAGGGGAGAGAGTTAAGACCAGTGGTATGTCCCAAATGGCATCCTATTCCCTATATAGTGCACTACTTTTGACCAGGGCTGTAAGGACACCGACATACAAGTAGTGCACTATAAAGGCAATATGGTGCCATTTGGGACGCAACCCGGATAGATGGATGAGCTTCAGACGGAAGAGAGGAAGTCAAAGACAGGAGGGGGGTTTCTAACTGAGAACACCCAGGAAGACTCATCTCCCCATCCCTCTATCCCTCCATCTTATCCCTCCATCAGCCTGCCGCACGTAGCACCAGCCTGTAGGTGCCTGGGGCCTGGAGCTCAGCCCAGCCTGTGGGTGCCTGGGGCCTGGAGCTCAGCCCAGCCTGTATGTGCCTGGGCCTGGGCCTGGAGCTCAGCCCAGCCTGTAGGTGCCTGGGCCTGGAGCTCAGCCCAGTCATCTGAGAAGAGGAGATGAGATGACAGACCACAAAGCTGCAGCTAACAACCACACAAATTAGCATGGCCATACAAGCCAGCTCTGATTCCCAGAGACCAAACAAATCTTTAATTATGATTTCATGGCTAGCCTCTCACATCTTTATTGCATGACATTCATGAAAAAAGAAAGCTCTTCCCTTTCTGCTAATTAATCACAGACATGCTACTGAGCAGAGCAGGCTGGCGGTCTATGTAGTAGGCTATTTTGAGAAAATATCGCTCACTTAGGGTTTACGTAACCCCCCCCCCCCCCCCCACCCCCACCTCACCCCATCTTCCAGTAAGGGGGTGGAGAGTTAGAGATAAGAGGGAAATATGAGTCATCTGAAGCTATTACATTTATTTTAAAAGCCTCATTATTTTAAATGTACAGGATTCCTTTTTAGTTTCGGCACTGGAGTGGTTTCTCTCCTTCAATTGGAAAACAATTATAATCAGTCTCTTATCTCTCTCTCTTTAAAATGCAGAGGGGAGTGGAGGAGGGGGAGGAGGGGGAGGAGTTTGAGGCAGGGGGAGGGGGGATCTCTGGTTCTCTGGGAATGTAGGGATGGATTCTCAGGGAGGGAATATAATAATAATATAATATAATAATATGCCATTTAGCAGACGCTTTTATCCAAAGCGACTTACAGTCATGCGTGCATACATTTTTGTGTATGGGTGGTCCCGGGGATCGAACCCACTACCTTGGCGTTACAAGCGCCGTGCTCTACCAGCTGAGCTACAGAGAACCACAATATATTAAACATTTAACATTAAGACATGGGCTGCCCATAGGGCTCTGGTCAAAAGCAGTGCACTATATAGGGAATAGGATGCCATTTAGGATGCAGAATAAGACATGATGAATGATTCTGTTCTACATCCAAGGGAACTACGTACAGGCATGTTTAAATAAAGCCAATCAAGTCTTCATGACTTCCAGTTTCAGTAGGCTCCAGATCAAATCCTCTGGTACTCCACCTCCTTTTCCCACCCCCCTCTTCCACCTCCCTCTAACCCCTCCACCTCGATCACCAGGAGGGCCTAATCCTAACCCTCCACCTCAATCACCAGGAGGGCCTAACCCTAACACTCCACCCTGATCACCAGGAGGGCCTAACCCTAACCCCCCACCTCAATCACCAGGAGGGCCTAACCCTAACCGTCCACCTCAATCACCAGGAGGGCCTAACCCTAACCCTCCACCCTGATCACCAGGAGGGCCTAACCCTAACCGTCCACCTCGATCACCAGGAGGGCCTAACCCTAACCCCCCACCTCAATCACCAGGAGGGCCTAACCCTAACCGTCCACCTCGATCACCAGGAGGGCCTAACCCTAACCCCCCACCTCAATCACCAGGAGGGCCTAACCCTAACCGTCCACCTCGATCACCAGGAGGGCCTAACCCTAACCCTCCACCCTGATCACCAGGAGGGCCTAACCCTAACCCTCCACCCTGATCACCAGGAGGGCCTAACCCTAACCCTCCACCCTGATCACCAGGAGGGCCTAACCCTCCACCCTGATCACCAGGAGGGCCTAACCCTAACCCTCCACCCTGATCACCAAGAGGGCCTAACCCTAACCCTCCACCCTGATCACCAGGAGGGCCTAACCCTAACCCTCCACCCTGATCACCAGGAGGGCCTAACCCTAACCCTCCACCCTGATCACCCGGAGGACCTAACCCTAACCCTCCACCCTGATCACCAGGAGGGCCTAACCCTAACCCTCCACCCTGATCACCAAGAGGGCCTAACCCTAACCCTCCACCCTGATCACCAGGAGGGCCTAACCCTAACCCTCCACCCTGATCACCAGGAGGGCCTAACCCTAACCCCTCCACCCTGATCACCAGGAGGGCCTAACCCTAACCCCTTCACCCTGATCACCAAGAGGGCCTATGCTACGTCACTGTTTTAGAGTTACACAACTATCAGGCCTAATTAACAACTACATATATAGGATTGTAATTTGATCATCCTGTTGCAATGCAGGAAATGTAAACTTGAGGTTTAAAGTGCTTTCTGAAGTTTGTAATTTCCACTTAGAAATTTCAGACCTGATTTTCACTTACGAAAAATTTATCAACTCCTAAAAAAAAATCCATTAATTATAATCCACATAATAATTCACATTTCCTGTTGTGCAGGATTATTTTCTTGCTGTAGCAAATTGGCTGAAATTAAGATCCTACATCTTCAGTTTCTCTGAAGGATGGATGGGGTGGGTTTGATTTCCCTGTGACACTGTGAGGTGAGTCAGGGACCTCTGTCTCTTTAGTCTAGGATGGTATCAGAATATGAATCTCTGTTCAGAGGAAGTGGGATAGTTTCCACCAATATACACACACACACACACACACAGGAGCATGCACACGTGCACATATGCACACATGCACACAGGCACTTTACACAGGTATGCACGAATGCACAAACACAGACAATTGGCCAACAACAATATATAACCAACACATAAAGAAAGGCAAACAAACCAACAAATCCACAGTCTGCATCACTGGGCCGTGTGCACCTTCCATAACGCAACAGAAACATACAGGAGCAGCAATTCACAGAATTAGCGGGAGTCAAAATGTATTCAACAACACAACGTAGCATGAAGTTCTGCAGCCCTCACACCATCTTAGCTGTTACTCAAACTGTAAATCCACTTTTTAGTAAAAGCCATACTATACCTGGAAGACAGACAGGTATTAATCATTACTATGTGTGGTTGGCTGGCCCAGATAATTAAATACACATAATCCATAAGGACACCTTTATTCCTGCCGAACCAAAACAAAAGAGGATTTACAGCTGTAACGCCTCTGAGATGAGAGGTGCTGCCGGTTGTCACGTAACATGATGACACTACTGAGCCCAGGAGAGGCTGCTACCAAGACACACACACACACACGCCAGAATGCATGCACACACACCTCCCCCACACACACAAGCAGGTATGCACCCACACGCACACACACACCATGTACAAACTATGATTGAACACACATAGTATGACACACATTGTGCAGTGTGCGTGGTCTTCAGCAGCACTCTCTCACCAACCGCAGAAACACAGTGACGTTGAGCTGAGCTGCGTTCCTCCACTTGAAGCGTATTGAAATGTGTCTGTGTTCATATCAAAGCTGAGGCAGAGTAGAGGTGACTGAAGGAGTGCTGCAGACTAGGCCTGCGTCCCAAATAGCACCTTATTCCCTTATAGTGCACTACTTTTGACCAGGGCCCATGGGGCTCTGTTCAAAAGTAGTGCACTATATGGAATAGGGGTCATTTGGGACACGGACTAGAGCTTACAGTTCTGCCTCAGAACCCCCTGCACTCCACGCCCCCCAACCAGATTTCTCACACACTCCCCTCCCTACACCCTCCACATTCCCCCACTCCGAGCCGTACACCTACACACACCCAGCACCACCCGCCTTCCTCACACAACACACTTGGTAAGTAAGAAGCCTAAGCATTTTGTAAGGAAAGGAGACAGGGAAACTTCATGAGAACTCATAAAAATAGATTTTCCTGTTTTGTGACGAGTGAAAAGTTCAGTTGGACTAGACAGGGACCTGCTGTAAGAAGGTTGCTGACTGATTGACGACTGACAGACACAGAGAGTAAAGGTGGAGAAGCATTACTATCTACAGGTAACTGCCAAAATAAAGGAAACACCAACATAAAGTGTCTTAATAGGGCGTTGGGCCACCACGAGCCAGAACAGATTCAATGCGCCTTGGCATATATTCTACAAGTATCTGGAACTCTACTGGAGGGATGCAACACCATTCGACCACAATAAATTCCATAATTTTGTGTTTTGTTGATCGTGGTGGAAAACACTGTCTCAGGTGCCGCAACAGAATCTCCCATATGTGTTCAATTGGGTTGAGATCTGGTGACTGAGACGGCCATGGCATATGGTTTACATCGTTTTCATGCTCATCAAACCATTCAGTGACCACTCGTGCCCTGCAAATGGGGGCATCGCCATCCTATGGGGGCATAGCCATGGTGGCCAAAATAATCGGCATCTGGGCCTTCCCACCATTTATATACATGACCCTAAGCATGATGGGATGTTAATTGCTTAGAAACTGCTCAGGAACGACACCTTTGTGGAGACACCTGCTTTCAATATACTTTGTATCCCTCACTTACCCAAGTGTTTCCTTTATTTTGGCAGTTACATGTATGTGTAAATGAAGGTCTAGTTAGAAAGAGATGATCCAGCGAGAAAAAGATACTGTAGATAGTGAAAATAGAGAGTAGAAATAGAGGTGTAGTGAAAATGGCCTAGGGTTTTAAAAAAAGAGAAGGGAGGAGAGTGGAGCGGAAAACATTAATAGGACTAGGCTATAGCTAGAGGACTTGTGAGATAAGGAATATACTGTAGCATGATAATAATGCTCAGTTAAGGTCATGTATAGGTTATGCCTCATATCACAGAAAACTGTTTTTAAGGAAGAAGAGGCACTTTATCCTGTTACATTTACATTACATTTAAAAAATAATGATGTGGAAAAGCTTATTTCACATACTATGTGCTCCCTGTCTAGCTCTTTCTTTCTAAAGTGAAATCTTCCTACTAGTCTGACTGCTTGAGGTTAAGGGAAGGAGAGAGTGTTAGTCCCCAGACAGAGAGAAAGAGAGAGGAATTGGGAGAGGATAGAGAGCGATCCCCATGGGCCCACCGACCTTCAAACTGCACCGCACCCAGCACACACTACACACTTCTCCTACTCACATAGTCCATGGTATCCTCAACGTTCCACTGATGACAGGGAGCAGACAGGAGGGAGGGAGAGAGGAAGTCAAACACAGAACAGCATAGATGGAACAAAAAAAAGATTGAACTTTTTTTTCTCTGTAGGTAAGAAAAGGGCCATAGGCCATCCTACAGGCACTGCAACAGAGGCATGCTCAGTCTCCAGGTGATTAGTGACTGGAAGACAGGGAGAGGAAACTAGAGGTGGAGGGAAAGGGTTAACATGAAGTAATGGATACAGGTAGATGGGTGGAGGGAGGGTGGTTGCGCTCCACAGTGCCACCTAGTGAGCAGGGCAGCACAGCTCATGTCCTGAGGGGGAATCTGTGTCGGTGGGACTCCCCTGCTGGTGTACTTGCTGTTTAGGGGTTTATCAATCAGCGGAAGACAATAATCAAAAGACAATCCTGATAGCAGTTAGTCTCCTGGTATAGACTGGGCAGCAAGGAGAACACTGCCGACTTACCTGCAACATAATTCCAACCTCCTGCAAACATTTACTGTGTCTGAAAACATGTCAATATGTATATCCCAACCCTTGACAAAACATAAAGGTTCCCAACAAATGCATGGTTTTGAGACACAAATCAACTGCCTTGTTATTCCATTGGTATGATTGAAGCTTTTTTTCAGATATTTCAGATGGCCAATAATGAAATAGGTTGACATCCAAGCCAGGATGAGATTATATGAGCCGACACAAAAAGGAAGATAAGCAATAACAAGGAAAATCCTCTGAGCTATAGGGTGCAGGAAATAACTCTGCAGTCTAACTGGGTCTTCAATGGACTGATGATAACAAGCTCTCATCATGTAGAGAGAAAGAAAAAAGAGGAGTGGGGAGTGTGTCTGTGTGTGTGGGTCTGTCTGTGTGTGTGGGTCTATCTGTGTGTGTGTGTGAGAGAGAGAGAGAGAGTATCACTGAGAGACAGAGAGAGAGTGACAGAGAGACAGAGAGCGAGACAGAGAGCGAGAAAGAGAGCGAGAGCGAGAGCGAGAGCGAGAGCGAGAGCGAGAGCGAGAGAGAGAGAGAGAGAGAGAGAGAGAGAGAGAGAGAGAGAGAGAGAGAGAGAGAGAGAGAGAGAGACACCCATAGCTATTGGCTGGTGGTTTTGGTTTAGCTGTCCTGTGCTGATGTAATGTGCCTGTCAGTAAATTGAGATTACATTTCACCTTCAGAGGTTAGAGCCCTTTTGCTTATTCAGCAGCCAGTCTGGAGATGACAGTTTTCTCCTTTGCCATGAGGTCCCTGCACCACCTATTCCATTCATTCACACTTCCCTTTGAAATAAAGCTGGCTAGAGCCCCTTAAACCCTACCTTCTGCCTCCTCCCAGCCTTCCTCCCAGCCCCCATCCTAGGCTTGCCCCCTCCATTCCTCCCCATTCCTCCCAAACCCAGCCATTAGAGGCTATTTCTCTTCTGAGTAAAGGCAGTAATGGCTGATGGAGATTCGGTTTGGTCTCTCTCTCTCTCTCTCTCTCTCTCTCTATCTCTCTCTCTCTCTCTCTCTCTCTCTCGCTCAACCCCCCGACACACAGCAGGTACCACAGCAAAATTGATTCAGAGACACAGGGCATTTGTATTCTGCTCCACGACCTTGCTGACTAACAGAAAATAAAAGACAAAGGGGCACACTTCTTTTTCTAGCATCTTAAAAAATGGCCTTATCATAAACAAGGGATGCAGGGCGGGCAGACCAGGGGTGTAGGTCTAGTCCCCTATTGGAAGTGCAGGTTATGCACTAAATACGGGGCCCCGTGTAGCTCAGTTGGTAGAGCATGGCGCTTGCAACGCCAGGGTTGTGGGTTTGTTTCCCACGGGGGGCCAGTATGAAAATGTATGCACTCACTAACTGTAAGTCGCTCTGGATAAGAGCGTCTGCTAAATGACTAAAATGTAAATGTAAATCAAGGACAGATGCATCATCATAGCACAGCGAACACTAAGGACAATAAACAGTCTGAGAAACTGTCTCTCTGTTTCATAAAGGAACTGCTGTGTTCCTTCACTAGCAAGGATTCTGGCTGGAGTTCAGAGCGAGCCATAATCGTAACATATCCCATTTGTACTTTGTGATCACACACTATTTCCTTAGTAGCAGTCTCAGTAGCTTGGAAGAAAAACTATAAAATGGGATAAGCTTATTCCAGAAACTAAAGTGCCTTCGTAAAAACACCTCAGGCAACATCCTCAGAAAGTGCTAGTGGCATTAGATGTGATATTAGATGTGTTATGGCAAACATCGGAGTTGAGAGTACTCCCCCTAAACAGAACACTTCAAATGTGTGTATCAGAAATGTCTTAGCTGGAGGCTATGTCATCACATAACACAAATTATCTCCACAACCCATAAAAACACTTGACAACAAAGTCAATAAACGAAGACGAGTGAAGGGAAAAGTTCGGTCAAAAGAATGGCACATTCTTATTACACAGTGAACCACGAGAAAAGAGAGTGCATTTTACTTAACCTCTACTGGATCGGTGTCCCGTATACGGGACGGTTGAGCTAACGTGCGCTAATGTGATTAGCATGACTGTTGTAAGTAACAGCAAACTTTCCAGGACATAGACATGTCTTATATGGGCAGAAAGCTTAAATTCTTGTTAATCGAACTGCACTGTCCAATTTACAGTAGCTATTACAGTGAAAGAATAACATGCTATTGTTTGAGGAGAGTGCATAACAACAAAAAAACGTATCACGGCAACTGGTTTGATACATTCACCTCTGAAGGTAAATAATGTACATTCAGTAATCTTGCTCTGGTTTGTCATCCTGAGGGTCCCAGAGATAAAATGTAGCATAGTTTTGTTTGATAAAATCAATTTTTATATTCAAATGTAGGAACTGGGTTCAACAGTTTGAACCATTGCTGTCTCTGGCTCCACACCCACCCCACCCAGCCATCTAGAAAGTTAGTGTATAAGCTATTGATCCATCATGTATGACATTCCTGGGAGTGTGTAAACTTACATTTTGTATTACCATATCATTTTTGTATGTTCTCTATAGTTATGTACTTGAAAATGTATCAATAGACCAATTCGGCACTTTGGGCAGACTTGATGCAAAATAGTCCGGTATTGCAATGCTTCACTGGATCAGTCTGAAACTTTGCACACACTGCTGCCATCTAGTGGCCAGAATCTAAATTGCGCCTAAACTGCAATATTATATTGTGGCCTTTCTCTTGCATTTCAAAGATGATGTTTGTATTATCTTTTACCAGATCTAATGTGTTATATTCTCCTACATTAATTTTACATTTCTACAAATTCAAAGTGTTTCCTTTCAAATGGTATCAAGAATATGAATATCCTTGCTTCAGGTCCTGAGCTACAGGCAGTTAGATTTGGGTATGTCATTTTAGGTGAAAATTTAAAAAAAGGGTCTGATCCTTACGAGGTTAAGTTGAGTGGAATTGAGTGGAAAAGCTCTTTGATAGAATGTGTTGTGAGTCTTGACTATAGTTTTTAAAGGAGGAGGAGGTGGGAAGATGAGGTGTAGGTGTGGGGGCGGGACTGAACTCTATACTACACTGTAGCCTTGGAGTAGCTACCAGTCACAGCATCCTTCTTTGGTTGAGGTCACGGCTATGTGACGGTGGCCCCTGAAACTGAACACATCAAAGTCACTTTAGCCTGTTTGACCTCCGTGTTAAATGAGTCAGTGAGTAGAACTGGAAGCCCTGACTGGTACACAGAGTACCACATACCACTTCAAGGCTAATAGACTGTGGGTTTGTGAGTGGATGTCTGACTCTGAGGCTGTGACCCAAATGGCTCTCTATTTCAAAAGTAGTGCACTATATAGGGAATAGGGTGCCCTTTGGGATGCAGCCTCTGACTAAGCAGTGTTTATGCAGTATGTGTCACACAGTGCAGGTCAAAAGGTACTCCACTGCTTGAGCCACTCACTCACTCACTGACACTAGAAAGGTCAATGCTACTGGACTACAGGACTCTGGACAACACTAAAGCTTTAATCTACTCTGCCCTGCTGCACAGTTCTATTAATAACAAACTAGACCACTAACTGTTAGCAAAGGTCCTTCAACTCCAAGGTCATGGGTTCGATGCCTGCAGGGATCGCATAGACTTAGTTGCATTTGGTACCTTATTCCTCTTGGCGTGACTATATGTACTGTATACTGTATAAGGAGGAACTGGCCTGCTTTCGTTTTAGATAGCGAGGAATGTGATAGATATTCCTTTATGTCATATATATTTGCTTAGGCATAGGTTGCATTTTGTTGACTTCTAGAGACAGTCTTGTCTAGCGTTATTCATTTGACGGTGGTGTTCATTTCAGTTAAAGAAAGCCTCAGAGATGCTCTGTCAGGATGAATTATCTGGGCAGATGTTGCTAGAGGAGCCAATAATTCACCCACAGCAGCAACAGAGAGAAACTTTCAGCATAGCAACACTGAGACAAGCATCGGGTGCAAAGGTCTCCCAAAATAAATGGAAAATCTTCCTTTTCTTGACGTTGTACTTTTCTTTATTTAATAATTCCTTGTAAAAAAAGAGAGAGACCTCTGACACTGAATTAAAAATAAATTAGCCCTTCTCCTGATGCTAACAGCATGGGCTAACAGCTAGAGGATAACAGCTCCTTTCTGTTTTAAAACAGAAACAACAGTAGACTGTCTAGTGTCTGTTATTCCAACAGCGAAAGTGGAGACCTCAGCTGAAAACATCCTTTTAAGTAGCAGACACTTATAACAGAGTGAGTACAACACCCACACTGACACGAACCCATCTCATTATAAAATTGCCATATCTATCATTATTCCCTGTGATCAAATGACTGTCTGCCTGGCACTTGACTGTGACAGCGTGCCTGATACCACTACATCTCTCCCTATCTCTCTCTCTCTCTCTCTCTCTCCCTCTCCATCTATCTTTTAATGAAGTGTGTCCCATTACCTGTCCTTTAGCAGCGTAGCAACTCCAATCCTTTTCGGAACATTTCATTTTGTGATGGGTGGTCGGTTGCTCAGGCTGTTTTAATACAACTCTATGGTCATGCATGGCAGTAAGCAGTATGTATGTCTTGCTCCAGTTAGTTTCACACATAACTGCCTGCCTGAAACATATCAAAGCATGCCTGGCAGCTCTGCTTGAACATGACTAAGGAAAAACCTTAGGGGTATGGGTTAAATGGAAGGACAGAAGACTATCTACTGTATGCTGAACAAAAATATAAATGCAATGTTCAGCGATTTTACTGAGTTACTGTTCATATAAGGAAATCAGTCAATTTAAATAAATAAATTAGGCCCTAATCTATGGATTTCACATGACTGGGCAGGTGCGCAGCCATGGGTGGGCCTGGGAGGGCATTGGCTCACCCACTTGGGAGCCAGTTTGACCCACTGGGGAGCCAGGCCCAGCCAATCAGAATGAGTTTTTCCCCACAAAAGGGCTTTATTACAGACAGAAATACACCTCAGTTTCATCAGCTGTCCGGGTGACTGGTCTGGATGTGGAGGTCCTGGGCTGGTGTGGTTACACATGGTCTGCGGTTGTGAGGCCGGTTGGACATACTGCCAAATTCTCTAAAAGGAAGTTGGAGGTGGCTTACGGTACAGAAATAAACATTAAATTCTCTGGCAACAGCTCTGGTGGACATTCCTGCAGTAGGACATGCCAATTGCACGCTCCCTCAAAACTTGAGACATCAGTGGCATTGTGTTGTGTGACAAAACTGCACATTTTAGAGTGGCCTTTTATTGTCCCCAGCACAAGGTACATCTGTGTAATGATCATGCTGTTTAATCCGCTTCTTGATATGCCACACCTGTCAGGTGGATGGATTATCTTGGTAAAGAAAAAATGCTCACTAACAGGGATGTAAACACATTTGTGCACAACATTTGAGAGAAATGAGCTTTTGTGCATATGGAACATTTCTGGGATCTTTTATTTCAGCTTTACATGTTGCGTTTATATTTTTGTTCAGTATAGTTTTTAGAAGCAACTGTGCTACTGTTAACAAGCAATATAGCTTTCAAATTAATTGTTGCGGCCTACATTAGTCGAGAAGACATTAACAACTAACAAAGTACACAGAATGTGTGTACTGCCAATTGTGACGTTACAATGTGCACTGTGAAGGTAACCAAAAAGAATGTGTGTACTGCCAATTGTGACGTTACAATGTGCACTGTGAAGGTAACCAAAAAGAGAGAGTGTACAGAGCCTCTTTTCTCTGTGCAGTAAATATATGCCAGAGCGTGGGCTTCAAGCACCAAGGTTGCCCTTGTTTATCGATAATCGCTCCTTACCACCCACACACCACGACAGACTCTCACTTCCTCCCCCCAATTCCCCTCCTCTCTCTCCTCTCTTCCTCTCTTTTTCCTCCTCTCTCTCCTCGACTATCTCTCCCTCGCTCTCTCCTTTTCTCCACCACTCCCTCCCTCCTCCTCTCACTCTACTCCACTCTCCATCTCTCCCTCTCCCCCTTCCCTCTCCCAGTGACCTGTCTCTGCTGAAGCGTTTTCCAGGGCTCCAGGAGACACAGATCAGTGTTTGACAGATCAAGACCATCTTATCTGATCATAGAAGCCTCATGCTTCACAGCCATCAACACTGGGGCCTCTTAGGATCCTTCAGGTGTCCAAAAATAAGAGAAAGAGAGAGAGAAAAAGAGAGAGAGAGAGAGAAAGAGAGAGAGAGAGAGAGAGCGATAAGGAGATAGATAAAAAAGAGAGAGAGAGAAAACTACCAGAACCCGCTCGATTCTCCAATTACATTGAACAAAATACAAACCCACCAACCCAAAAATGCCAGTGGTGTTGATGGTATCCCAAATTAAATGATAAAATATACAGACCACAAATTTCAATTGGCTATGCTTACACTCTTTAACATAATCTTCAGCTCTGGCATCTTCCCCAATATTTGGAACCAAGGACTGATCACCCCAATCCACAAAAGTGGAGACAAATTTGACCCCAATAACTACCGTGGGATATGTGTCAATAGCAACCTTGGGAAAATCCTCTGCATTATCATTAACAGCAGACTCGTACATTTCCACAGTGAAAACAATGTACTGAGCAAATGTCAAATTTGCTTTTTACCAAATTACTGTACGACAGACCACATATTCACCCTGCACACCCTAATTGACAAACAAACAAACCCAAACAAAGGCAAAGCCTTCTCATGCTTTGTTGATTAAAAAAAATATATACAAATTGATGGAAAGTGATGTTGGGGAAAAAAACATACGACATTATAAAATCCAGGTACACAAACAACAACTGTGCAGTTAAAATTGGCAAAGAACACACACATTTATTTCCTCAGGGCCGTGGGGTGAGACAGGGATGCAGCTTGAGCACCACCCTCTTCAACATATATATCAACAAATTGGCAAGGGCACCAGAACAGTCTGCAGCACCCGGTCTCACCCTACTAGAATCTGAAGTCAAATGTCTACTGTTTGCTGATGATCTGGTGCTTCTGTCCCCAACCAAGGAGGGCCTACAGCAGCACCTCGATCTTCAGCACAGATCCTGTCAGACCTGGGCCCTGACAGTAAATCTCAGTAAGACTAAAATAATGGTGTTCCAAAAAAGGTCCAGTTGCCAGGACCACAAATACAAATTCCATCTAGACACTGTTGCCCTAGAGCAGTCCCCTGTAGCTCAGTTGGTAGAGCATGGCACTTGCAACGCCAGGGTTGTGGATTCGTTTCCCACGGGGCCAGTGTGAAAATGTATGCACTCACTAACTGTAAGTCGCTCTGGATAAGAGCGTCTGCTAAAATGACTAAAATGTAAGCACACAAAAAACGATACCTACCTCGGCCTAAACATCAGCACCACAGGTAACTTCCACAAAGCCATGAACGATCTGAGAGGCAAGAAGGGCCGTCTACGCCATCAAAAGGAACATAACATTTGACATCCCAATTAGGATCTGGCAAAAAATATTTGAATCAGTTATAGAACCCATTGCCCTTTATGGTTGTGAGGTCTGGGGTCTGCTCACCAACCAAGAATTCACAAAATGGGACAGATACCAATTGAGACTCTGCATGCAGAATTCTGCAAAAACATCCTCTGTGTACAACGTAAAACACCAAATAATGCATGCAGAGCAGAATTAGGCCGATACCCACTAATTATCAAAATCCAGAAAAGAGCCTTAAAATTCTACAACCACCTAAAAGGAATGGATTCCCAAACCTTCCATAACAAAGCCATCACCTACAGAGAGATGAACCTGGAGAAGAGTCCCCTAAGCAAGCTGGTCCTGGGGCTCTGTTCACAAACACAAACAGACCCCATAGAACCCAAGGACAACAACACAATTAGACCCAACCAAATCATTAGAAAACAAAAATATAATTACTTGACACATTGGAAAGAATTAACAACAAAACTGAGCAAACTGGAATGCTATTGCAGAGAGTACACAGAGTCAGAATACCTGACCACTGTGACTGACCCAAAATTAAGGAAAGCTTTGACTATGTACAGACTCAGTGAGCATAGCCTTGCTATTGAGAGAGGCCTCCGTAGGCAGACCTGGCTCTCAAGAGAAGACAGGCTATGTGCACACTGTCCACAAAATGAGATGGAAACTGAGCTGCCTAACTTCCTGCCAAATGTATGACTATATTAGAGACACATATTTCCCTCAGATTACACAGACCCACAAAGAATTAGAAAACAATTCCAAATTTGATAAACTCCCATGTCTATTGGGTGAAATACCATAGTCTGCCATCACTGCAGCAAGATTTGTGACCTGTTGCCACAAGAAAAGTGCAACCAGTGAAGAACAAACACCATTGTAAATACAACCCATATTTCTGTTTATTTATTTTCCCTTGTTGCACATCGTTACAACACGACATAATATGACATTTGAAATGTCTCTATTCCTTTGAAACTTTTGTGAGTGTAATGTTTACTGTTCATTTTTGATTGTTTATTTCACTTTTGTTTATTATCTATTTCACTTGCTTTGGCAATGTAAACATATTTTTCCCATGCCAATAAAGTCCTTTAAATTGAACTGAATTGAGAAAGACAGATGGAGAGAGAGGAGAGTCAGGTATAAACATAAACGGTAAAGGCGTCGTAAAACACTGGGCAGGGAGTTGGCAGGCAATTAAACCTTTATGTCCCATAGTGTCTCCAACCTCCACGGCCAATCATTTGATATGGTGGAATTTACTCTGTCATTAAGGCTTTTGTCATAAGCATGACAAAGAGAGCAGTAATCCAAGCTTGCCTGCTGTTCTATAGAGACGACCCACAGCCACAGTAAAACGGCTAGGGGAATTTGAAAGCTTCCTTCAACTGAAAAACAACACGCTACTAAGCCTATAGTGATGACAGCTTATAGTCTAGACAATGTGTTAGTTTCTCTCTCACTGAAATGCTGTTCTCTCTCTCTATGTCTATAGTGATCACAGCTTATAGTTTTGCTAATATGTTTCTCTGCAACAAGCTCCTTTCAATTCCATTCCATGTTTACATTGCCAAAGCAAGTGAAATACATCATTAACAAAAGTGTCCAATAAAAAAAGTGTCCAATCTCTGTCCTTCGGTGTGTAACGTTGTATAAACGACCAAGGGGAATGGTTATGGCCTCTTTCAAACAAATTTAGTTCCCAGGCTTCATCAGTAGCAGGAGCCAGAGAGCCTGTTTTTCATGGGGCTGACAAGGACGTGGGCGCCATAAACATGGGCACAGCACAGCCGGCCACCGTGGACTGAGGAGCTCTGCACTGGCATTAAGACCTGAGCCTGGCAAAACAGCCCACTTAAAGTGATTCAGCACCGCACCAGGGACGGAATCCATCCATCACAAAGAAGAGTGTGATGTATATACGACAGACTGAGAGAGATCCAACAGAGTGTGTGTGTGTGTGTGTGTGTGTGTGTGTGTGTTGCATATAAAACAGAGACCCAATGACACACAGCCTAATATAGATGGATCCTCATCCTCCAAGTATTATTTAATTACCCTTATTTTACTCCTCCCTCCTCCTCCTCCTCCTCCCTACCAAATCAGGCCATATGTATGTGTAGCAGATCAGAGCAACAGCCCATGCATGTCTGTGTGGCATTCCAACGCAGAGGACTAAGGAAACTACTGCAGACTATTTATTGATTCTAATATGAAAACACTCCACTGGCTTGGCAAGAGACATTTAATAAGAAACCTTACTAATAAAAACTGACCAATCTCTATGAATAAAAGTAGGAGGAAAAAACTACAAAATTCAGCAATCAATTTGTGTCATGGGTCAATCTGAGTTGTGAGAGGAGGAGTGTGTGTGTGTGTGTGTCTGTGTGTGTGTGTGTGTGTGCATGTATGTCTGTATGCTGTGTGTGTGTGTGTTGCTCCATAGAGGAGAGTGGGGTAACAAAGATATCTATATATATTTCAGGATGGTGTGTATCCCTGGAAATAATCAGAATTCATGTAAACATTACAGTTTTGAAAACATAGCTTGTCCATAAAAAGTGGTCTCTTGGCACAAACTACCCCGGGTATGGGGTCAATTGAGCCGCGGGACAGGGTAAGTTAAGCCGCCTACAAATGTCTGTACTGAATGAAATATTACCACTACCTTTTTAAAACCATGTATATCTTTATTTTCCTAACACAATTCAACACAATCACAATCCTTTGTCTTTTGACAATGTTAAGCATCTTTTAACACAGGCTTAACACCTAACAAACACTTTGTACTTTTTTAAACACTTTTAACATAGGCCAGGACCTGTTGTTACCTCATATCCCAGAGATAATGCCTTACATTACGCCTGGGAAGAAACACTTCAATTAGCTAAACTTGCCATTAGCTCAACCATTGGCTCAACTTACACCAAGACAAACATTTTGACTATATTAGCTCACACAGCTACAGGGATGCACTTTCATGCTAGGTTTAGGACCTCATATTGTAGCTTATAGAGATCCCAACTGATGTATAAAACAATCTTAAAAATATCTACTTTGGTTTGGATACAAGTATTATGAAACCTCTAACACAATACATTTATTTGACTTGGTGAAAATCTGTTTTCTGAACCTAACTTGCTTACCACTTTTTCCATGTGGTTTCTTCCTTCACAATGGCTCAACTTATCCCTTTGGCTCAACTTACCCCACTCTCCCCTACTGTAGGTGTAGAGTCAAGTCTCTTTTGTCACTAACGACAGGTGAGCCTTCCAGACAGTTCCCTGAAAAACACATCCACTCACAGGGATACTGTATGTGTGTGTGTGTGTGCATATGTGTGTGTGTGTGTAAGTCCATGTGTGTGCTCCCGTGTTCGCGTGTGTGTGTGTGTGTGTGTGTCATTGCCTGTATCTGTGAGTCATAAATGTGGTAGGGGGATGCAGAGGCAGAGGCCTTTATCAAGCCCTGCTCCTTGCCCAGATAAGACAGGAATGCACCTCATGAAGGAAATCGGAGGTGAGACATCTCTGGGAGAGAGAGAAAAACAACAATGTGAAATGACTGGAACGATCGGCCTCACACCACATGATAAGACTACATGACTTTTCAGCTTGGTCAAGGAGTGGTGCAGTGCAGTGTGTGTGTGTGTGTGTCAAAGGAGTGGTGCATCACAGAGACCAGATACAGCAGCCATCAAGGAACAGGGATTTGAGAAGTAGTCTTTAGCTGGATGTCTGATAGCAAGGTCACAGAAACACTGTTGGTCAACAGTAGTCTGTTGGAACCAGCCTGATCTCGCGATAGCTCATGTTCTGTTTCACAGTGAAGTAAAAAGAAACATGAGCACAGTGGTCAGTCTGCTTGACCCGGCTAGGTCATGACCAATTATTTTTCTTATCTACTGTATGCTACAGCTTTTTAACTAAACAAAAGTGTTTAAAGGGTCAGTCTGCAATTCGAAAAACAACAGACCTGCTGTCGTGCCACGTACTAATCGCACACTGCAGATTCAAGATGCACAAGCAGAGTATCCCACATTCACAGCACACCAATACAAATGCCAGTGATGTGGATAATACAGTAGATTTGCCTGAGTGAACCGCTGTAACACAGCAGCAGAATCAGACATGTTGTCTAGTGAATTGTCTCGCTGTACATCTCATCACACCTCCATACCTACCGTGTCAGCTAGGCTTGCCTGCAGCTATCTGAGGAGAATGGCATGGCGTGCTGAGAAGCTGAAGGAGGGCTTGACACTGCTTCAGAGAGAAGGAAGGCATGCTCCCACAAGCTAATACCAGGATAACACCCTGTACCTACACCCTCTCCCTACCGTACCGCACACGGAAAACTACAACATTATAATACGACTAGAGAGAGAGAGAGAAAGAGAGAGAGAGAACCAGATAGTTTGTATGTATGTATGTATGTATGTATGTATGTGTGTGTGTGTGTGTGTGTGAATTCCTTATCAGGATTAAGTCTATGCTGTTTATATTCTTCATTTACGATTACTACAACAAGATGAACCCAAACAACAATATAAAATAACATTATTTTCCTGGAATAACAAGGCAGTTAATTTACATTCTCATCTACATAAAAGGCAGGCCACCCCAAATTCATATCTAAATATAAAATCACATAATGCATTTTCATCAGCAGCATAGGTAGAGACTGAACACAGTTATTTTGGTATTTTCATCCTTGCCTTATTCCACTGACGAGGAAATGGAAAAGGAAGGATTTCTTCACTGTGGTTTTTAAAGGCACATACACACAGGACATAAACAAGACCTTTTCAATCACGTTAAGAGGAGTAATTAACTAATCATAGTGATTGATTACCATTACCTGCCACTGACAGAGTGTAACTGTCATTACCTACTGAGCAAAATCCATCTCCCCCAGTTCTCCATTCCGAGTGACTGAGAACTGTGTGAGGTGAATCTTTGAAAGTTTGAGAGACCTGGGTTCTTTGAGCATTTGCTTGAGCCTTTCTGGAGCGCCAAATGGGCAGGCTAGCTCAATCAAGCACAGCTTAAGTCTTAATTTGGTTTCCAGTTGAATTATTAGAAAGATTTCAAATACCATTTGAATCCAGGTCTGACTGGGACATTGGACAGGGAGATTAAGGTGTGGGAGATTATGTGTGGTACTGAGTGAGTTGGTGTCATCCAGTAGTGGCAACAGACAGTACCTGTGCCTCAGGTAGGGAGACATCCATGATGTTGGGCTGGCCTCGAGGCTCTCCGTTCTCCAGTCGTGAGTAGACTACCTGGTACCCTCTGATCTGGCCATGCTGCTTCACCTGGAGGGGGGGCTTCCACGTCACCCTCAGGGCTGTGGAGTTCAGGGCATCAGCCTCCACCTTCCTGGGAGGAGCTCCAGGCACTGGGGAGAGAGGGTAACAGGTAACAGAGGTTAGGTAACAATTTAGGGTAGGTAACAAGTTGAGCTTCAATTCTGACTGAGGGATACAGATAGGCTTAAACCCTTACAGACAGGGTCTGCGCCCGAAACGGCACCCTCTTTCAGATGTACCCATAGCATCATGGAAGACGACCAACCAAGCCTGTTCCAAACACAGCGCTCTATAGCTAGCTAGATCTCTATCAGAATGGCATCAAAGCTTCATCCCCAGCTGAGCTACTTTTTAAGGTTAGATCAATCAAAGCATCTCATGGGGTCCCTTAGGGGGGGACGTTGGCTGCTGGGTTGAGTGGCCAAACTTTTTGCTTCATGGCAGAGGAAGAGCAGAGCTGCTATTGAAACAGGCTTATTATGAGCACCTCCAGGATGCAGGGTCAGCTACCAGGGGAAACTTTAAATTAATACAAATATGACTTCAATAAAAATGAGCGAATGTAGCGTGGCTTGGTAAAAATAGCCAATAGGAAGCAGCGGAGGTAGCGTGGCTTGGTAATGATAGCCAATAGGAAGCAGCGGAGGTAGCGTGGCTTGGTAATGATAGCCAATAGGAAGCAGCGGAGGTAGCCTGGCTTGGTAATGATAGCCAATAGGAAGCAGCAGAGGTAGCGTGGCTTGGTAATGATAGCCAATAGGATTCAGCGGAGAGTAAGAAGGAAAATAAGGAAGGAAAGCGGTACAGGTTATAAAGGCCTGTATTAAGAGATCAATACACAGATATAAGCAGATTGTTAGTGTAGAAGTCTCCCCAACCCAACACCACGTAGCAGAGAGGAGAGGAAAGGCTCAGTATCTGCCAGTCAGCACTATGCACAGCAGCTCTGCTAATTGGAACCATTTAACCTCATAATACATCTGCAAGCTTCCAGAATCCTGCAGAATCCTGCTGCCTACACCGACCTTCACAAGAGGAAAAGTCAATATGGCTGTTGTATTAACAGATAAACACAAAGCCCAGGTCTGCGTCCCAAATCGCACCCTATTCCCTATATAGTGCACTACTTGTCAAAAGTAGTGCACTATGTAATAATAATAATAATAATAATAATAATAATAATATGCCATTTAGCAGACGCTTTTATCCAAAGCGACTTACAGTCATGTGTGCATACATTTTTGTGTATGGGTGGTCCCGGGGATCGAACCCACTACCCTGGCGTTACAAGCGCCGTGCTCTACCAGCTGAGCTACAGAGGACCACGTAGGCAATAGGGTGCCATTTAGAATGCATACCGGACCTGTGTAAAATGGAAGAGGTACAGAAGCAGAGAAGCCCAGCACATATACACTGACATACTGTACACATGATGCTGTTGAAGTCTTTGAGGTTTGGTCTTCAAAGGTTTCAATCCAGAGTACTGCTGGGTTGAATTTGTACTTGCTGGTTTCAGACTGAACCAAAAGCGATGTAACAATGAACCCTATTGTTTTAAAACAACACAGACTATCATATTTCAGTGTTGGGGCTGTTAGAGATGGACTGGGCTGTTAGAGATGGACTGGGCTGTTGGAGATGGGCTGTTGGAGATGGACTGGGCTGTTGGAAATGGACTGGGCTGTTGAACTGCAGCCAGCAGCGATTGTCTTTCTCCCCTCCATCTCTCTCTCTCGCTCTCTCTCTCTCTCACACTCTCTCTGTATCTCTCTCTTCATGTCTCCCTCCCTCTCTCTCCCTCTATCTCTCTCTTTCCATCTCTCTCCCTCTTTCTACCCCCCACCCCACCCCTCTCTCTTTCTCCATCCCTCCCTGGCTGTCTGATTCTCATCAGAGAAAGAGCTCCCACTCACTCCCATGGAGTCTCCATGGAAACCTAGTTGCAGAGATGGAGCGGGTTCATGTCGGGTTTTCTTGTTTCTAGAATGTCCCCTCTACTCATGAAGTTGCTAATGCACTTTTTCCAGAATCCCACTGTGTGAAGACAATCAAGCGCATATAATGTGCTTGTCAGCTCAGGGCAGTGGGAAAGCTACTCAGCTGGTCATTTAATAAAGATCTGGGAGGGAATGGGAATGTATAGTCGTAGTCAGTTGGGGGGGCCCATCAACCCAGTGTGGCAGAGGACATGGAGAGGAGAGGAGGAGAGAGGGGGATCTGACGGTGGCCATGGCAGGTACAGCCAGACTCCCAGCACAGTCTACGACCCATGGCACAACTGACAGGCAGCACTATACACTCTTAGAATGAGTGGTGACTCGAGGAACCATGGAGAGCCTCAAGGAACCCTGGAGTGGAGGCGTGGCTTAGTAGGGGCATGACTTTCAGATATATATTTTTTGGCCACCCTTAAGAGTAAATGTCATTCCTGTTCATCCGTTCTGTTGTATTGTCATCACATGTTAAGGTTGAACACTGACAGTTTTTTAGCTTCAATGAGGTTAACAGGGCTCCCAAGTGGTGCAGTGGTCTAAGGCACTGCATCTCAGTGCTTGAGGCGTCACTACAGACCTCCTGGTTCAATTCCAGGCTGTATCTCAACCGGCCGTGATTGGGAGTCCCATAGGGCGGCGCACAATTGGCCCAGCGTCGTCCGGGTTTGGCCGGTGTAGGCCGTCATTGTAAATAAGAATTTGTTCTTAACTGACTTGCCTAGTTAAATTAAAATAAAATAAAAAAAAGAGGTGTATGAGTTGCTCAAGAGTCTATGCAAATCACAAAGTTGGAATAGTTACCACTTTATTACTGTATGTAATCAGAAATGTTAATATTATATTAAAATATGTAATGTGCATAACTATTAGAGGAACATTTTACTTTGGAGTGTACAACTTAACATGATGAAAAGGAATGACATTTACGCTAACAGATGACCAAAAATAACTATCTGAAAGTCACGCCTCCAATAAGCCACACCTTCAATCTGATAGGCTGCCACCTCTACAATATATTATTAAAAAGGTTTAAAATGTAACCCCTCCCATCACAAAAAGGTCACGGTATGAACCTTTACACAGGGGTTCCTCAAATAACCTTTTCAGAGGGGTTCCTTGAGGAACCTTTTTCAGTTGGAAAGGTTCCGCTGGTGTGGCAACCCAAAAGGTTCTTCCAGGCACATTTACTTTTAAGAGTGTACATCCCCCACATATCAAGTGTGGTGTGGGAGAGATGGAGAGAGGGATCTGATGGTGGCCATTGCAGGCAGACAGACAACTGCAGCTCCCAGCACACAACACAGCTGACATGACAGACAGCCCAGCTTTATACTGTATATCCCCCACCATCAAGGACAGACACACTCTGCTTGGGTTAGATGCAGCTAGATCTCAATAATTATAGGCTGAGAGATTGGCTTCATTTCAGTTTATTAAAACAAATGAATTGTGAGCCAGAGGCCCAGCCTTCAAGGCCCAGCGCACCCTAACCACAGTGTCAGAGCAAATGAGACTTCACTGTGATTGGACAGGGAACCAGGCAGGCAGCTCTGTGGGTGCTGCTGTGCTGTGGGGGTGTGGGGATCATTGGTGATAGAAGAGATCGAGGAGGAGAGAGAGAGAGAAGAGAGAAGAGAGAGAGAGAGACGAGGGAGAAGAGAGAGAGAGAAAGAGAGAGAGAGAGAGAGAGAGAGAGAGAGAGAGATAGAGAGAGAAGAGAGAATAGAGGTAGAGAGAGTGAGTGACTCTTCTGTCGACTCTAACTTCTTCGTTTCTCTCTCCCTTCTTCTTCTCTTTCTCTCTGCCTTCTTCTCTTCTCCTCTTCTGCTCTCTCTCTCTTCCTTCTCTCTCTCTCTCCGCTCTCTTCTCTCTCGCTCTCTTCTTCTCTCGCTATCCGTCTTCGCTTCTCTCCCGCTCTCTCTCGTCCCCCTCTGCTCGTGCTTGGTCGCTCTCTCCTTCTCTCGGGCCCCCCCTTTCTTTTTTTCCCCCTTTCAACAACCTTCGCCTCTCTCTTTCCTCGCTTTTTTCTTCTTTTTCTCTTCGTTCTCTCCTCCTCTTCTCTTTCCCTCTTTTCTCTCCTTCTTTGTTTTCCTCCTTTGCTCTGCCTTTTCTCTCCGTTCCTCCTTATTTTTCTATTTCCCCCCCTTCCAAACGCTTTAAAACCAGGGAGAAGAAGAATGCAAGGGGAAAGAAAAAAATGCAATGTTGAGATTAAATGAGGTGTGTAAGAAATTTAGAAGAGAGGGGGGGGGGGGGGGGGGTTTTTAGAAAATTTTTTTAAAAATTTGGGCGAGCTAGGGATCTGACGAATATAGAGAAACAGATGGTCTATAGAGAGATCGCTAGGTCCCTGCAAGTCGTCAGTTTTGAATTTCTTTTTGCATTGCAGCTCTTTCTTTTTTACCCTCGAAGCTCCCTCCCCGACGCTTTTCTCCCCCTTGTCTCCCGTTCTCTCCCCCTCTATTGGATGTGATTGAGTGGGAGAGGAACATTGTGCTTAACTAAAACAATGCTTCTGCTTGTCTCTTGTGAAGGCATCTTTGGCTGTTTCTTTATATGAACGCCCTAACTGCCCCGGTGAGACACAATGAAAAACAGAAGGGAAGAGAGAGAGCGAGAGAGCGAGAGAGCGAGAGAGCGAGAGAGAGAGAGAGAGAGAGAGAGAGAGAGAAAGATGTACGCTACTTTACACTACAGAGAGAGTAGCCGAATAGCCATTATGATCCCTGAGACAGGTCTCATGCTCGGAATATAGACACAGACAATTCAAACACAATAATGGCACCTGGGAATCAAATTAATCCAGGCAATTAATCCAGACAATTAATCCAGACAATGAAAAAGCCTAACATAATTAAAACGGAAGAGAAAAAGAGAAAGGCAGGAAAGAGGGAAGGGGAGCGGCATCAAAGGCACAAGCCGTCTTCATTTGTTAGTTGTGGTCACCAAAGACGGCTGGAGAAAGAAGCAGAAACACTTTATCGGATGGAGAAAAAGAGGACATTAGGAAAAGCTTCGGTCCACACACTGTACTGACGGACGAACAGCTAGAGAACGAAGCAACACGGTGTAGAAGAGAAGAAGAGGGATGGGCTCTACAGCCCTGCACACTATGCTGCCCATAGGTCTTTAGCCCCTCCTGGACTTATCCGCTGATACTTAGATTTTCTCCAGTGGCTCAGGAAAAGAGCCTATTGCGCTCAAGGTTACGATGTGGTGGATTGAGTCTTGACAAAACAGGTGGAGCCCCTTGCAAGGATTTAGTGTAATGGTGTCTTAGACTTAGAGACCACAGGCGCTGGATCGTGCAGCTGTGACACTGTGAGGCGGCATACTCTGTATGCGTCCGAAATGGCACCCTATTACCTATTTAGTGAACTACTTTTGACCAGAGACCCATAGGGAATAGGCTGCAATATTAGGACGTCAGCTATAAACACACAGAGAGTGCAATTTTATGAATGTCAGTAATAAACACACAGAGCATGCTCGCTTCTTGAGCTGACCATCGTTTTGTGCTAGCCTACCATGCACAGCCCATCTAGAAACAGGATGAAAAGAGTGGTCACAGAAAAGCAGACTGGATGAAAAGAGTGGTCACAGAAAATCAGAGACAGGATGAAAAGAGTGGTCAAAAGAAAAGAAGACAGGATGAATAGAGTGGTCACAAAAAAGCAAACAGGATGAAAAGAGTGATCAAAAGAAAAGCAGACAGGATGAAAAGAGTGGTCACAGAAAAGCAGAGACAGGATGAAAAGAAAAGCAGACAGGATGAAAAGAGTGGTCACAGAAAAGCAGAGACAGGATGAAAAGAGTGGTCACAGAAAAGCAGAGACAGGATGAAAAGAAAAGCAGACAGGATTAAAAGAGTGGTCAAAAGAAAAGCAGACAGGATGAAAAGAGTGGTAAAAAGAAAAGCAGACAGGATGAAAAGAGTGGTCACAGAAAAGCAGAGACGGGATGAAAAGAAAAGCAGACAGGATGAAAGAGTGCTCAAAAGAAAAGCAGACAGGATGAAAAGAAAAGCAGACAGGATGAAAAGAAAAGCAGACAGGATGAAAATAGTGGTCAAAAGAACAGCTGACAGGATGAAAAGAGTGGTCAAAGAAAAGCAGAGAGGCCATTAGAAAGAGTAGTGTAAAGTACCTGAGTACTTTACTTTACTATTTATATTTTTGACTACTTTTACTTTTACTTCACTACATTCTTAAAGAAAATGATGTACTTTTTACGGCATACATTTTCCCTGACACCCAAAAGTACTCGTTACATTTTGAATGCTTAGCAGGACAGAAATTGTCCAATTCACACACTTATCAAGGGCACATCCCTGGTCATCTCTACTACCTCTGATCTGGCGGACTCACTAAACACAAATGCTTTGTTTCTGAATGATGTCTGAGGGTTGGAGTGTGCCCCTGGCTATCCGCAAATTAAAAAAACACGAACAATTGTGCCAATTGGTTTGCTTAATATAAGGAATTTGAAATGATTTATACTTTTACTTTTGATACTAAAGTACATTTTTGCAATGACATTTACTTTTGATACTTAAGTATATTTAAAACCAAATACTTTTAGACTTTTACTCAAGTAGTATTTTACTGGGTGACTTATTAAGGTATCTTTACTTTTACTCAAGTATGACAATTGGGTACTTTTTCCACCACTGAGAAAGAGTAGAGCATCAGGAGGTAGTAGCAGTAGAAGAGTAGTAGTAGTAGAAGAATCCCAGCGCAGGGTTAGTGTCAGTAGTGTGGCCAGAGAAAGAGGGCCTTGCCTGGCCAGAGAGAGGCAGAGATAGACCGTTGGGGAACGTAGTAGTAAAGGCTAGGGGTTGAGAGCAGTAGTAGTAACAGTAGTAGTAGTAGTAGTAGTAACATTAGTAGTAACAGTAGTAGTAACAGTAGTGGCATTAGTAGTAACATTAGTAGTAACAGTAGTAGTAACAGTAGTGGCATTAGTAGTAACAGTAGTAGTAACAGTAGTAGTAGTAGTAGTAGTAGTAGTAACATTAGTAGTAACAGTAGTAGTATCAGTAGTGACATTAGTAGTAACATTAGTAGTAACAGTAGTAGTAACAGTAGTGGCATTAGTAGTAACAGTAGTAGTAACAGTAGTAGTAGTAGTAGTAGTAGTAACACTAGTAGTATTAGTAACAGTAGTAGCAGTAGAAGTAACAGTAGTAGTAGTAGTAGTAACAGTAGTGGTAACAGTAGTGGCAATAGTAGTAACAGTAGTAGTAACAGTAGTAGTAGTAGTAACAGTAGTAGGGTGGCAGATAGCCTAGCGGTTAAGAGTGTTAGGCCAGTAACCAAAAGGTTGATAGAATTCATGAGCCGACTAGTTTCAAAATCTGTCAATGTGCCCTTGAGCAAGGCACTTAACCCTAAGTAGTAGTAGTAACAGTAGTAGTAGTAGTAGTAACAGTAGTAGTAGTAGCAGTAGTAGTAGCAGTAACAGTAGTAGTAGTAGTAGTAGTAGTAGTAGTAGTAGTAGTAGTAGTAGTAGTAGTAGTAGTAGTAGTAACAGTAGTGGCAGTCGTAGTAACATTAGTAGTAACAGTAGTAGTAGTAGTAGTAGTAGTAGTAGTAGTAGTAGTAGTAGTAGTAGTAGTAGTAACAGTAGTGGCAGTCGTAGTAACAGTAGTGGCAGTAGTAGTAACAGTAGTAGTAACAGTAGTAGTATTAGTAACTGTAGTTGTAGCAGTAGTAACAGTAGTAGTAACCATAGTGGCAGTAGTAGTAACAGCAGTAGTAACAGTAGTAACAGTAGTAGCAGTAGTAATAACAGTAGTAACAATAGTGACAGTAGTAACAGTAGTAGTAACAGTAGTGGCAGTAGTAGTAACAGTAGTAGTAATAGTAGTAGTAGTAGTAGCAGTAGCAGTAGTAGTAGTAGTAGTAGTAGTAACATTAGTAGTAGTAGTAGTAGTGACAGTAGTAGCAGCAGTAGTAGTAGCAGTAGTAACAGTAGTAGTAGCAATAGTGGCAGTAGTAGTAACAGTAGTAGTAACAGTAGTGGCAGTAGAAGTAACAGTAGTAGTAGTAGTAGTAGTGGCAGTAGTAATAACAGTAGCAGGGCTGGTTTAGTGCTAGGAAAGGAGTCTCCAGCCTGACCACGGCAGAGAGGAGCAGCGAGGCCAAACAGAGGCAGAAACAGGTCAGGGGAAAGCAGCAGCAGCAGTAGTAGTAGTATTAGCAGCAGTAGAGACCCAGTACCAGGCTGGGTTAGTGCCAGAGGTGCTTCCCCAGGGAAGGAGGCCCCAGTCTGGGCCCAACCATGGACGTACCATCCTCCTTGGTCCTGATCCTGGCCGCGGGGCTCTCTGGACCTGGGCCTACGTCCGTGTGAGCCCTGACCCACACCTGGTACTCTGTCCACTTCTCCAGGCCCTCCAGTATGTAACTAGAAACATCCGCCCTGATGCCCGACACCTCTTGGCGCTCCAGGTCCTCTCCCGTGGCGGCCTGGTAGGCCATAGAGTAGCGGACGATGTCCCCATGGCGGCTGGCTGCAGGGGGTGCCACCCAACTCACCTTAATGCTGGTGGAGCTGAGGCTCAGCAGGTGTACCTCCTGGGGTGGGGCTGAGGGGGCTGGAGGAAAGGGAAGGGGGGGGGGGCACATGGAGGGGGTTGGGGGGTCAAGCAGGAGGGATGGTAGAGGGATGGAACAGGGGTGCATCCCAAATACCATCCTATATAGGATGCCATTTGGGATGAACTCCAGGACTTCTGGACTGGGAGGAAGCGCTCCATATACTGTAGCCTGTAACTCCTTACCAATGTGCTTTAGAGTAATCGTGTGTGTCAGGCAGCCTGAAATGAGTTTCTAAATGAGCTATAGTAGGTATATAGGTGTTTTGCTTCTACTGAAGATGTGTATATTTTATTTTCTAGTCTGCTACGCCTTTCTATCTCACACGATTCTCCACAGTGCAGAAGAAAAATAAAATACTTCAAACAGGCAAATAATAAAAATGATAAACAACTAAACGCATAAACAACACACAGTTTGAGCAAAATACAGTCGTGGTCAAAAGTTTTGAGAATGACAAGTATTGGTCTTCACAAAGTTCGCTGCTTCAGTGTTATGAGATATTTTTGTCAGATGTTGCTATGGTATTCTGAAATATAATTACAAGCATTCAAAGGCTTTTATTGACAATTACATGAAGTTTATGCAAAGAGTCAATATTTGCAGTGTTGACCCTTCTTTTTCAAGACCTCTGCAATCCGCCCTGGCATGCTGTCAATTAACTTCTGGGCAGATCCTGACTGATGGCAGCCCATTCTTGCATAATCAATGCTTGGAGTTTGTCAGAAGTTGTGGGTTTTTGTTTGTCCACCCGCCTCTTGAGGATCAACCACAAGTTCTCAATGGGATTAAGGTCTGGGGAGTTTCCTGGCCATGGACCCAAAATGTCGATGTTTTGTTCCTCGAGCCACTTAGTTATGACTTTTGCCTTATGGCAAGGTGCTCCATCATGCTGGAAAAGGCATTGGTCGTCACCAAACTGTTCTTGGATGGTTGGGAGAAGTTGCTCTCGGAGGATGTGATGGTACCATTCTTTATTCATGGCTGTGTTCTTAGGCAAAATTGTGAGTGAGCTCACCTTGTCTTCTCCGGACAAGGTGTTTTCCGGATGCCCCAAACAATCGTAAAGGGGATTCATGAAAAATGACTTTACCCCAGTCCTCAAAAATGACTTCAGCAGTCCAATCCCTGTACCTTTTGCAGAATATCAGTCTGTCACTGATGTTTTTCCTGGAGAGAAGTGGCTTCTTTGCTGCCCTTCTTGACACCAGGCCATCCTCTAAAAGTATTCGCCTCACTGTGCGTGCAGATGCACTCACACCTGCCTTCTGCCATTCCTGAGCAAGCTCTGCACTGGTGGTGTCCCGATCCCGCAGCTGAATCAACTTTAGGAGACGGTCCTAGCGCTTGCTGGACTTTCTTGGGCGCCCTGATGCCTTCTTTACAACAATTGAACCTCTCTCCTTGAAGTTCTTGATGATCCGATAAATGGTTGATTTAGGTGCAATCTTACTAGCAGCAATATCCTTGCCTGTGAAGCCCTTTTTGTGCAAAGCAATGATGACGGCACGTGTTTCCTTGCAGGTAACCATGGTTAACAGAGGAAGAACAATGATTTCAAGCACCGCCCTCCTTTTAAAGCTTCCAGTCTGTTATTCTAACTCAATCAGCATGACAGAGTGATCTCTAGCCTTGTACTCGTCAACACTCTCACCTGTTTTAACGAGAGAATCACTGACATGATGGCAGCTGGTCCTTTTGTGGCAGGGCTGAAATGTAGTGGAAATGTTTTTTGGGGATTAAGTTAATTTTCATGGCAAAGAGGGACTTTGCAATTAATTTCAATTCATCTGATCACTCTTCATGACATTCTGGAGTATATGAAAATTGGCATCATCAAAACTGAGGCAGGAGACTTTGTGAAAACATTTTTTTTTGTCATTCTCAAAACTTTTGACCACGACTGTACATAATATCACAACACAATATGAACAAGGGGAAGGTAGTGGGTGGGTGAGGGATACTGAGGGACCACTGTGCAGAAAATAACATTTAACATGCCTGCTTGTGATTTGGCAGCCAGAGCAGTGAGGAAGCAGGACACAATATGCTTTCAATATGAGGCTAATCCTTGACAGGCCATTCCTTCCTTCAGAATACAGACACCAAAGTGATTAACAGAGTTCAAATACAGATAAAGACAGAAAAAATACAGAGGATGTCTCTTAACCCTCCCGTTGTCCTAGGGTCAAAATGACCCGCCACTGTGTTGAACCAACTTTATTAAACTTTTATATTTTGGGGATCATTTGTGAGAAGGAGGCAGTGAGACTTTAAAGAAAGTATCACTGCCTCCTTCTCACAAATGATCCAAAAAATATAAAAATTAAATCAAGTTGGTTCAACACAGTGGCGGGTCATTTTGACCCTAGGACAACGGGAGGGTTAAACGGCAACCTATTCCATATATAGTGCACTGTTTTTGACCAGAGCCCTTATGGGCCCTGGGCAAAAGTAATGCACTATGTAGGGAACAGGGTGCCATTTGGGACGCATCCAGAGTAATTCCCTGCTATTTAACTGAACCTTTATGTGTATATTCATGTGGGAGTAGATGAGAGGAAGAGCGTCTATGTGTGGGAGACAGATTGCAACAGATATGTTTCAAATAGGAACGGGGTTGTAAGAAATCCAAAAAGATACAGAGGAGAGAAGCAGCGAGAGATATAGCTATAGAAGAATGCAAATAACAGATAGAGAGAGAGAGAGATCATATGACATGGTGAATGGGAGATTGAGAATATTGAGGACAGAGATAGTGATAGAGTTGTGAAAGTGATTTGGAGAAGCAAGGGGAATAGAGCAGAACGCTTGAAATGCAGTGAAAGTGGAAGTTATTGAGACATAATGACTGAAAGAGATTGAGAAGGACAGATAGAGACAGAGAGAGATGGGGAGAGAAAGGGAGAGGGACAGAGAGAGAGATTGAGATCGAGAGGAAAAGAGAAAGAAACAAGAGTGGAAGACAGATACAGACAGGACATGGAAAGACAGAGTGAGAGAAAGAGAAGGAGGAAAGGGAAAAGAGCAGCCCTGCTGGATTCTCTGCCGTGGCAGCACCTTTCTTGACATGGCGACTCAGTGGCTCTGTGTGTCAGTGAGCAGGCAGATAAAGACTGACTTCAGAGAGAGCGAGAGAGAGAGAGGCCTCATTTTAGGGACAACTGTTCCTATGGGAACCAAAGCCCTTTATGGTGTTTAGTGTGCATCCTAAATTGCACCCTATTCCCTGTTTAGCGCACTAATTTTGACCAGGGCCCATTGAAGTGGTGCACTAAATATGGAATAAGGTGCCATTTGGGACACAACCTGGTTCTCCCCTTTCCACAGAGGAAGGCTTTCACGGCTGACAAGTAAAACAAATGGCTAAGAATAAGCTCTGATTTCTTTGGCAAACCTATCATAAATATTTCATCTTCCAACCCCTTAGATCTCCTGGAGAGACCACACTCAGCGCTGTGAGGGGAGCAGAGAGGAGGCTGAGGCAGTGACAACAGCAGAAGTGTGGTGGAGGGGTCTGGCTGTGTGCTAAAAACTCGATTAAGGGGGAGCTGTTCGACGCTATTAGTGTTGGTTAGGTGACAGTGATTGTGTTGGTGGATGCCGAGGCCATACATAAAAACGTATAGTACAGTACGGTGCCATGTTTCATTATAAACTATAAATGATCGTGACATTTATGATGTAGCCGTGCCTTCTGTGCAGCAGTCTGTTTTGGGTTGCTGGGTTCTGCATCATAATGGAAATGAGCATGTTCTGTATCTATGTACTCAGTGGAATTTGACGCAATGGGTTTATCATACTATTTGTCAAAATGTTCAACGGCCTATGGGCAGCGGCATGTTATCGACTGACTGCAAATAGGGACAAGGAATGTTCCTCTCATTGCTGGCATGTACAGTGCCTTCAGAAAGTATTCATACCCCTTGACTTATTCCACATTGTGTTGGGTTACAGCCTGAATTCAAAATAGATTCATTTGATTTTTTTTCTCACCCATCTACACACAACACCCCATAATGACAAAATAAATCACATTTATTGAAAATGAAATACAGAAATATCTCATTTACATAGGTATTTACACCCATGAGTCAATACGTTGGAATCACCTTTGGCAGCGATTACAGCTGTGAGTCTTTCCGAGCCTCTAAGAGCTTTGCACAACTGGATCGTACAATATTTGCACATTATTATTATAAAAATTCTTCAAGCTCTGTCAAGATGGTTGTTGATCATCGCTAGACAGCCATTTTCAAGAGTTGCCATAGATTTTCAAGCCAATTGAAGTCAAAACTATAACTAGGCCACTCAGGAACATTCAATGCCGTATTGATAAGCAACTCCAGTGTATATTTGGCCTTGTGTTTTAGGTCATTGTCCTGCTGAAAGGTGAATTTGTATCCCAGTGTCTGTTGGAAAGCAGACTGAACCAGGTTTTCCTCTAGGATTTTGCCTGTGCTTAGCTATATTCCGTTTCTTTTTATCCTAAAAAACTCCCTAGTCCTTGCCGATGACAAGCATATCCATAACATGATGCAGCCACCACCATGCTTGAAAATATGAAGAGTGGTACTCAGTGATGTGTTGTGTTGGATTTGCCCCAAACATAACGCTTTATATTCAGGAAATAAAGTTAATTTCTTTGCCAAGTCTTACTTTAGTGCCTTATTGCAAACAGGATGCATGTTTTGGAATATTTGTATTCTGTACAAGCTTCCTTCTTTTCACTCTGTCATTTAGGTTAGTATTGTGGAGTATCTACAATGTTGTTAATCCATCCTCAGTTTACTTCTATCACAGCCATTAAACTCTATAACTGTTTTAATGTCACCATTGGCCTCATGGTGAAATCCCTGAGCGGTTTCCTTCCTCTCCGGCAAATGAGTTATGAAGGATGCCTGTATCTTTGTAGTGACTGGGTGTATTGATACACCATCCAAAGTGTAATTAATAAATTCACCATGCTCGAAGGGATATTCAATGTCTGCTTTTTTAAATTAATATTTACCCTTCTACCAAGAGGTCCCCTTCTTTGCGAGGCATTGGAAAACCTCACTGGTCTTTGTGGTTGAATCTGTGTTTGAAATTCACTGCTCGACTGAGGGATCTTACAGATAATTGCATGTGTGGGTTACAGAGATGAGGTAGTCATTAAAAAATCATGTTAAACACTATTATTGCACACAGTGAGTCCATGCAACTTATTATGTGACTTGTTAAGCACATTTCTCCTCCTGAACTTATTTATGCTTGCCATAACAAAGGGGTTGAATACTTATTAACTCAAGCTTTACATTTTTTATTAATTAGTAACCATTTCTACAAACATAATTCCACTTTGACATTATGGGGTATTGTGTGTAGACCAGTTACACAAAAGCTCAATTTAATAATTTTAAATTCAGGCTGTAAAAGCGGGCAAAAAAAAGGAAAATTGGGCCAAAAAAAAGAAACCTGACTGGCTCACTTTCCCATTGAACTCGTCATCTTTCTTCTCGAATCCGCAGGACATAAAATAATATAGAGGTAAGATAATGTAGATATCAATTTTAAGACATGACATTTAGTATTTTCATATTTTAGTATGCACTTTACATATTAATGCAAAATTCCTGTTCTTTGAAGATTTCTCACAAAAACAAGCGTATCTATGTGAAATGTTAATAGACCACTGAGTGTACCATAAGCTTTTTATTTTCAAAGCCTTTTACATTTAATTCAGCTCGTGTCATGCTAATTTCGCTTTTTGTGACCTGCGGAAACAATGTCGTAGAAATATTTGACTAAAAATAGTCAACTCAAAAATATCTCTCAAGACACCGGAGCTTGTGAATCCAAGAATTAGACTTTATTGCATAATAAAGCCGAGCTTGCTCCATGGAACAACTGTCTTCCTTTAGCTTAGAGCTCCCTTTTATACACAAATGCATAATCATGTTTCATAGCATATACAATTACTCCCCTTAGGGCAACTGATTAACTTATTTTAGTACCACTCTACCTTAGCTTTCAACGTCCAGATGTCACCTGTAATTTACTCCAAAAGGTCATGGGCGCTTTTCCATAGGAAGCCTCTTCCCTAATCTCATTATATTGGTAGCAGACCCTTTCCCTAATCTCATTACACATACATACATTAATTTATGTTTACACACTGTATTGGCTATATTCCTTATTTAAACATACATCTGGATTATAGAATGTCAATCATGTTTACTATATTTAAATTTTGACATTTCCCTACATTTGCCTTAATGATACATAAAATATTACCATAACAACTTTGAAGACGACCACCACAACATGTAAAATTCTCAAAGTTGCAAGAATGCTTCGTTGCTGTCAAAAGAGCTTGGTGCTTTTTATTAGATGTATTAGGTTACGAAATCCGACTATTCGGATATACGGTTAATGAAATGTTAGAGAAGGACCCCACTGAACGATTCAGAACATGAATAATCATATTTGTCTTGGTAAAATGTATTTTATAACATAAGGAAGTGAATTTTAATCACCAAAGCGCGTTTTTTCACCACTCTGAGCAGAGTGGGTGGAAACCCTACATTTTGCCTTCAAGATCAGGTGGGTTAGAGGTGCAGGCTTTGAAACATGACCAGTCTTCTTCCTGTGGTAAGTGGGTAAAAGAGTCAGTGCTTTTTCTGGTAAGTGCCAAAAGAGGAGGACATTTTCACAGATTTTCACTGCTCTGGCCTCAATTCACAAGCTCTGTAGAAGTCAAAGACCTGTACTTTAGCATGCCTTCAAAATAAAGAAAAACACCATTACTCAACTAACAATTGACTGCAAAATACGACCTACCTTTTGCCCACCTGGACTCCACATTCTTGTAAGATACAGAAGAATTCACTAAAGTCCTAGAGTAAAGCTAGTTCCAGGTAAATGGTTGCACGCAGAAGTGGAAAAGGCCATCGTATGGGTCTGGGCATTAAGGTGTGGACCAAAAACAGCCCCTATGGTCCAACAGTAAGTCTAGCTACAGGTAAAGAGAGGTAAAGACCGATGGGTTTGGGTCAGGGAGTTGGGGTACAGTACTTACTGGACTGGGCAGTCCTGGCCTCGATGGGTTGCGTGTAGACGCCCAGGCCCATCTCAGAGCGAGCAGCCAGGGAGAACATGTAGAGGGTGTCTGGCTTCAGACCCTCCACAGCATAGGACCCCGCAGGAGGGAAGGTCACACTGAGCTGAGGGAGAAAACAGGCAGAAGAGACGTTAGTAAAAGTCTCAGAATCCAGGAGCCAAAAACAAATATTGTGTGCACTAGCTAGCTAGCTACTCTATTTATGTTTATGCCTGTCACTAGAGAGTATTCAAAAAGCACAATGAGAAAAGTAGATATTGTAATCCCCGATGTTAATATATAACACTTCCACATACAGTGGCTTGCGAAAGTATTCACCCCCCTCTGCATTTTTCCTATTTTGTTGCCTTACAACCTGGAATTAAAATGGATTTTTTGGGGGGTTGTATGATTTGATTTACACAACATGCCTACCACTTTGAAGATGCAAAATATTTTTTATTGTGAAACAAACAAAACTGAAAACTTGCATAACTATTAACCCCCCCCCCCCCCCCCAAAGTCAATACTTTGTAGATCCACCTTTTGCAGCAATTACAGCTGCAAGTCTCTTGGGGTATGTCTCTATAAGCTTGGCACATCTAGTCGCTGGGATTTTTGCCCATTCTTCAAGGCAAAACTGCTCCAGCTCCTTCAAGTTGGATGGGTTCCGCTGGTGTACAGCAATCTTTAAGCCATTCCACAGATTCTCAATTGGATTGAGGCCTGGGCTTTGACTAGGCCATTCCAAGACATTTAAATGTTTCCCCTTAAACCACTCAAGTGTTGTTTTAGCAGTATGCTTAGGGTCATTGTCCTGCTGGAAGGCGAACCTCCATCCCAGTCTCAAATCTCTGGAAGACTGAAACAGGTTTCCCTCAATAATTTCCCTGTATTTAGCACCATCCATCATTCCTTCAATTCTGACAGTTTCCCAGTCCCTGCCAATGAAAAACATCCCCACAGCATGATGCTGCCACCACCATGCTTCAATGTGGGGATGGTGTTCTCGGGGGGATGAGAGATGTTGGTTTTACGCCAGACATAGCGTTTTCCTTGATGGCCAAAAAGCTCAATTTTAGTCTCATCTGACCAGAGTACCTTCATCCATATGTTTGGGTAGTCTCCCACATGCCTTTTGGTGAACATCAAACGTGTTTGTTTATTTTTTTCTTTAAGCAATGGCTTTTTTATGGCCACTCTTCCGTAAAGCCCAGCTCTGTGGAGTGTACGGCTTAAAGTGGTTCTATGGATAGATACTCCAATCTCCGCTGTGGAGCTTTGCAGCTCCTTCAGGGTTATCTTTGGTCTCTTTTTTGCCTCTCTGATTAATGCCCTCCTTGCCTGGTCCATGAGTTTTGGTGGGCAGCTCTCTCTTGGCAGGTTTGTTGTGGTGCCATATTCTTTCCATTTTTTTAATAATGGATTTAATGGTGCTCCGTGGGATGTTCAAAGATTAGGATATTTTTTATAACCCAACCCTGATCTGTACTTCTCCACAACTTTGTCCCTGACCTTTTTGGAGAGCTCCTTGGTCTTTATGGTGCCGCTTGCTTGGTGGTGCCCCTTGCTTGGTGGTGTTGCAGACTCTGGGGCCTTTCAGAACTGGTGTATATATACTGAGATCATGTGACAGATCATGTGACACTTAAATTGCACACAGGTGGACTTTATTTAACTAATTATGTGACTTCTGAAGGTAGTAATTGGTTGCACCAGATCTTATTTAGGGGCTTCATAGCAAAGGCGGTGAATACATATGCACACACCACTTTTCCGTTATTTATTTTTTAGAATATTTTGAAACAAGTTATGTTTTTCATTTCACTTCACCAATTTGGACTATTTTGTGTATGTCCATTACATGAAATCCAAATCCAAATCCATTTAAATTACAGGTTGTAATGCAACAAAATAGGAAAAATGCCAAGGGGGATGAATACTTTTGCAAGGCACTGTAAAAGGTACACAAAGTAGGAATTACATATTGGATCCTAGCTTGCATTTGCAACACCTGAAAGTCAACTAACAGAGTAAAGGATAACAGAAACATCTATTATTTTCCGTGGTCCTTCGAGACGGATAACAACATTCCTGGAGTAGACGGACTGTATTATCAGTAAGGGTATTATCAGTCATTTACCTTGTTGCCAGAGTTAGCCTCCCAGTACATCAGTTCATACTTGGTGATCTGGTCCTGGACAGGCCACAGCCACGACAGCATGATGCGGGTGTCCAACTCTGCCTCGGCCTCGAAACTAGACGGCTGGGCTGGTACTACAGGCAGAGAGAAAGAGAGATGAAACACTCAGAATACACCGCGGGTACATCCTTATCCTCCCCATCCATTTAAAACCATCGGAATATCTTTTAAATCCACAAAGGGAAGCGCACACTTTGGACAGACGGGTAAAGAATTGGGGACAAAGTGAATCATATATACTACTGTAGAGTCTATAGACATGATGTGAGACACAGCTGCTGTGCTTTTACTCTGTTATAGTGCTGAGACAGCGGTTTCACAAATATCAGCAATTTACAGAACACTTTCTCAAGTGGCTACATTATACCTTTAAAAGCTAGAGTAAGTCTATAGTACAGAGGGAGCCATTTCAGATGAGCGTGTCTGCACAACAAAATATTCTGGGGCACTTCATCACTTTTCTTCTCAGAGGTGTCAGAAGAGGAGGAAACTGTAGAGTAGACATTATCTATGTTGTACTTTGAGGACACAGTAGATAATATGTCCTTGTGGATGTGGATATTCACTCAGTGAAAAGTGAAACCTCTATTGGGGAGACCTACAGCTGAAACAGAGCTGTTTCATACAGTGTTCACTTACCACCTAGGTAGTGTCCCTTCTTCATAAGTAACAGTGTCCACTCAGCTCTCCCCAACTACATAAGTTGTACACTCACCACCTAGGTAGTGTAGTAGGTGGTGTACTACTTCAGAGTGTCCACTCACCTCCCTGCTGGGTCTTGACCTGCAGTACATCAGAGGGAGGTCCGTCTCCTACAGAGGTGAACCCCAGCACCCTGAGGCTGTAGGTGATGTCAGTGGTCAGCCCTGAGATGGTGGTCAGTCTGCTGTCGTCAGTGTTGTGTTTCTGCCACCCACTAAGTGGGGCTCCGAGGTCCGAGCTGTAGTACACCCGGTACCTGAGGAGGAGTGGGTTAGAAAATCTATCAATCAATCAATAATGTTTAGAAAATGAACCAAAAAATGTACACATATTTGGCAAAGCATCAGACGAAAGGACATGTTATATCAACCTAGGTGTATGAAATATATACATGCTTTATGAAGCATATATGACTTATAAAGGGTTTATGAAGGCTTCAATAAAAATTAATATAATATTTTACCCTCTGATCTGTCCGTTAGGCTCCTCGGGCGGCTCCCATTGGACCAGCATGGTGGAGGCGCTGAGCATGCGAGCCTGTACAGCCAGCGGTGGCGAAGAGGGAGCCTGTTCACTGGTCCTGGTGTCCACGAGGCTGCTGGGTGGGCCACGCCCGATGTTGTTCACCGCCATGACGCGGAACTCGTACTCGGAGTAAGGGCTGAGGCCACCGATGCTGTAGCGCGTGGTGGCTACTCCGTCCACCTAAAATAGAATGATATGATAATAATATGGTTATTCAGCAGACTTTTATCTAAAGTGACTTACAGAACTGTCAACATTGACCCTGACACATATATTTAGTATTTGTGGCCTATGCGGGAAGAGAACCCACAACCATGTGGGAATCAATCCCTAAACCACGTGGGAATTGAAATCACAACCATGTGATAATGGAACCCACAGCCTTGGTGTTGCTAGCCCCATGCTCTAACCCACTGAGCCACTGGAACCATTGGACCGTACCTCCTGGAAGCCGTTGTCAGAGACCTTGGCCCGGTACTGGATGACGTAGTAGGACACAGGCTCAGGGTTCCCAGAGTCCCAGGTCAGGGTGACGCTGGTGGCTGTGGTCTCCGTCACGATCAGGGAGGTGGGGGGCTTGGGCAAGGCTGTCAGACATACCAGGGGGAGGGAGGGAAATACACTGGTCATGGAAGATTACAACAGCAAAAATATAAATATCTGTTTTAATGGACAATAAAGTATACTATTCTACTGTATTTTATTCTACTCTATTCTCTTTATTTTCTATTCTATTCTACTCCATTCTATTCTCCCATCCTTTGTCCAATCCTGCTAACAGAATACTACATATAAAGGCCTTAAATAGGTTGAAAGTGCTCTATCTCACTAACGCAGGCCCCAGAGCTGTGAGCAGCAACAAGAGCGAAAAGAGCGAGAAGGACAGCACTCACATCCTATCAGTCCATCACTATTCAGAAGCCTGTCTCTTTCAGTCCCTCACCTGTCACTGGAGGGGCCAACTCAGCCATGTTCATTATCTCTCAAAGCAAAGTCTCTCACCCAGTGTGACACGCACTCTGCCTATTCACATGCAAAACACCAACCATTCAGCACACTCACCATACTCTCTCTCTCTCTCTCTCTCTCTCTCTCTCTGAATAGGAAGCCTATTCTCTCCTTCTCTGCTATCTAGGGCGAAACTTCCTGTTTCAATTAACCTGAGAGTCTGAGAGTCTTGACTAGAGAGATGAATAGAGTAATGCATATTTTCTATTTTCATTTTTATTTATATATTGATCCAAAGAAACAATTTCAGGGCTTGAGGCGTCCCTTTGGCAAAATGAAAAATGTGTTCAATGTGAGGTAAAGGAGTATCAATACAAAATTATAATATTAAGAGAGTCTAAAGATACTAAAGAATAGTTGGTGTTAGTCTGAAATAAATAACCAGAATAGAAAGTAGACTCAAGCAGACTGACTCAAAATCGATGTAAGCAATGTAAAATGGAGTGAACTGAATGTAAGTTATCTGGCTGGTTTTGTGCTATGATTTCTTGTGGTGTTTTTCAATTATTTGACATTCTATGGAATTGCAAAGTGACAAATTACATAACATATAAGAGTATAATATAATACTATTTTGTTCTACACTGGCATAGCGTATGAGTTTGAAACACAAGATGTACGTCCTCACGGTAATGGTAATGTACATGCTCTCCCAGGTTTTCCTATTTCCATAGCAAATGGAAAGAGCATCATTGTAATACAATTTTGGCTGAAAATGGTTGCTAAATCACTTTTGCATTGTATATGATAGTACCGCTGTCAGAGTCCAAATGGATCTGCTAAAGTAAGAGGCGTTGGGGTGTAAAACAGGGAGAACAGCTCGCCTTGCAGGCATCAGACGGGCATTAGCAACCGATAGGTATTAGAGCAAGAGAACAACCTTATACAGCTACAGCGCCTAACTCCCAACGCCTTTCTCGACATCTGCTATTAATGGCTCCGTCCCAAATAACACCCTATTCCCTATATAGTGCACTACTTCTGACCAGGGCCCATGGGGCTCTGATCAAAAGTAGTGCACTATGTAAGGAATAGGGTGCCATTTTGGACGGAGACATTATGCGGCGTATCCAAAAAAGGCAACAGAAGCTTTTATATTTCTTTGAACAATGTGAAACCTCTAAAGTATTACTCTGAGTGCTGAGTGATGTTAAGATAGAAGTTAGATGACGTTACGGCCTTTTATGCAGAATACTTATTCATCAGTAGGATTCTGTAGAGGAGAGAGAGCCTCTCCCAACACTTGAAAATATCCCACCATCTGGCAACACTGTGAGTGATATCATGAACTAATTTGGGGAGTTTTTGGATATGTGTTTATGTATTTCCCTTACCGTATTATTTGCTTTTTGATAGTCATATTGTGTTTGTTTAGTATTGCCATAGGACCCCATTCATTCTCAAAGTAAGCAGTGCAGAAGTAGACTTCCCTCAGTTCAAAACTCATCTTTCATAAAACGAATTGAAGTTCTCTCTAATAACTCTAGTGAATTAACGATTGATAGGTATTCAAGCATCACAAATACTCACACTGATATTATGTGTTGTTTCAGTGAGTGCAAATAACAATCCCTAGGAGAATTAACTGACTTCATTTTCTCTCCATATGTCATGGCTGCTCAACTCACCTCAGAGAAAGGAGAGATAATATGATAACTTATTTTGTTTTCAAGCATTTCACATGTAACTAACAAAGTAGTCTTTTACAAATTCTATTTGGAATCATTAGTCTATATCTAAGCCCCTTATTTAAAACATGTATATTGCTTTGTGCTGTACATATTAGATACAGTGAGTAAGCCTATTTCCTGAAAGCACGATCACTTTGTAATGGGAAAGTAAACTCGAGATGCTTATCTAGCTACAGTAGTTTGTCATCGTTGGTTTTTCCGGAAAGAAAAGTCTCAGCCATGTTGAATTATTGATAAGAATATTAATGCATGCACTGTCATCTGGTGTCTGAGGGATTAGTCCTTTAAATATGACCCCTTTACCAGACTCTCTCTGAGACGTAAAGACAGATGACTGGTGACGAGAAACAAAGATCCAATCAAACTTCGGTAGCAAAACATAAAATACAGTTTGAGCTATAGCTTACTAAGCTTTTATAGTGCAGTCTAAAGACATAGAGACATACTGTATCTAAAATGTCTAGCTTATATTAATCTTCACTATAAAATATCTCAGATGGATGTTGATCTAGATCCATCTGTTAATTTTGGATGTTGACATGTAGATCTTGAATGAGGGCTACTTTTCTAGATACCCAACTTAGCTAACTCACTGCATCCCAGGCACAACAAACAGTCAAAATCCCAAACAACCTCTCTCACACTTTCCCAGCCCTCTCACCTTTGACAGTGATCTGCGCGGTGGTCTCGATCATGCCGAGTGACGATATCGCCACACAGGTGTAGTTGGCAGACTGGAGGATGTTGGTGACCTCCAACACGTTCCTCCCAATGGGCATCTCTTCCTCCTTGGTCAGCTCTACTACTCCCATCATCCACTTGACGTAAGGCATGGGCGCTCCCACCGCCACGCACGTCAGGTTCACGCTGCCACCCGGCATCACCTCATGGTTGGTGGGCGGGATGGAGAACCGGGGTGGCACGCGGCGCACTGCAGGTGGAGAGCAGAGGAGGGTGAGTGGGCAAGGAACTGGAGGTTTGATGGGGGACAATGCATGGGAGGCTGGGATAGCCTGATACCTTGATAGTCGGGCCTGGCTGTCGCTGTATGCTGTTCTCTGGGACAATAGAGGCATTTGGCAACCCTGCTATAGTTAGTTAGGGTGGGAAACTTCAGCCAAATCATGTACTATATATATATATATCTATTACGCAATTGTGAAATAGGTCTTTCCTCTCCTTTCATGTTATATTTGGAAAAAAACGGCTAATGCGGCCTAAAGCTGGATTTCTCACGAGTGCCTTTGGATTTCCTTCTTTGGTATGTAGATTAAGACGCACTTGGAGATAGATACTGCTGCTGCTGTGGGTCTATGGCTTCCCTGCCATATTCAGAGTTACCTAGCTAACTACCACTCGTTCGGTCTCTAAGTGCGAGTGAATAAAACAGGTTTCTCCATTGTTATCTCCCATACAGCATTAGAAATCCCCTTAAGTGCTGGGAAGTACAGCTCATTACATCTGAATTAATGCTGCACCGCTACTCTCTCAGTATGCATTAAACATACATAGCTCAATGGCAGAGCAGATAAAGTGCTCACACACCCCCCTTGAATGGGAAGGCTAAGAATGGTCACGAAATGTGACTCAGAAAGTATAATTTAAGCGTAGAGTCTGAATATTCTGGCTGTGAGGGGCTTAGATGGTGTCTTACAGTCTTTTCACCGGGTTTCTTCTTGGTCTAACTAAATAGAAGGGGAGGGGAGAACTACATGCTGTGTCAGATAAACAGGGAGAGATGTAGAGGTTTATGACAGATTTGGCCTGCGTCCCAAATGGCACCCTGTTCTCTATATAGTATACCACTTTTGATCAAAGCCCTATGGGCCCTGTTCAAAAGTAGTGTACTACATAAGGAATAGGGTGCCATTTGGGACACACACTTAGGCTTTCTCACTGAATAACGTTTTCACTTTGCACTGCCTGACAACTTCAATGAAACACAGCAGGGTATAGCTGGTGTTGTATAATTTGGGAGCGGTACTTCTTTGAACAAAGAAACTGAAAGAGGATTATGTACTATGCACGCATAATGTCTTCATTTGGCTCAACCACGTACAGTATTTAAGTTAATTAGTTACAACCAAGTGAAGAATCACTTTGAGAAATGAATGTGCAGTATTTGCATGGGCTCAGTCAGTCAGTCAATAAGTGAGAGAAGAGAGGAGATAGTAATCTTGAGAGAGAACATAGTGGTGGTGTTGGAGGCTGTCCTCTCTGTAAATACAAGAGCTGCATTGTCTGTCTGCTGGGACCGGCTGGGAGGGAGAGAGGGAGGAGAAGAGAGGGACGGAGGGAACCATAAGGGTCTGTGATACAGATGGCTGGTATTAACACAGGTTCCCACGGAGACTGGCCTTGCCTGAGAACGTGACGTGGCGGACAGAGGGAATGACAGAGGGAGGGAAGAAGGGAAGGAAGAGAGGAGGGTTGGAGAGAGAGAGAGAGAGGGCGGGAGAGAGAGAGATAAAGAAAAATAGATAGAGAGGTAGTGAGAGGAGGGGAGGGGGCTAGCTCTGTTCGAGGCTGGGTATAGGCCATAGTTATGGGCCATTCCGTTTAACGTTTTAGAGTGATCTCAGGTCAAAATGTCAGAAAGAGGAAACCTTTTAAAAGTTGAGTTGCAAAACTTTTAGATGTATCAGGGTGCCACTACTGCCAATCTCATATTTTACGACTGTATTTCTGTGGCTAGAACCTCACAGAGTGGAGGTTGTAAATCATCCTGCAGGTGAAGTACAGCAAGCAGCCAAAACCAGGCCTTGACGTTTCAATTCCCAATTGATCTCCCAACACACACAGATCTGCAGGAACTCACATTAACACCCGCAAAACTATCCCCTTTCAGACAGTGCTGAGACTCTTAATCATCAGTAGGCAGCAGTATGATACTGTCTGAGAATGAGACCTACAAATAACTAACGTTCCCAATTTCATCTCTCTTTGGCCAGGAAAGATCCAAGGTTGCAGCATAATACCGAACCACTCATTGAGAAAGAGTCGGTGTCCCAAATGGCACCCTATCCCTTATATAGTACACTACTTTTGACCAGAGCCTAATGGTTTCTGGTCAAATGTAGTGCACTATGTAGGGAATAGGGTGCCATTTGGGATGTAACCAGACTTTAATTTGGGAAGCGGGAGGAGAACTCTGTAGCAGACCTCTGTTTTGTGTTTGAAGATAAAATAAAGGCAATATTATTCACATCACAACTTTCTTAAAAACTGTGTTTATCATCATGACTAAGAAATGACCTTCTTATTTCCTTACCACAGCAAAATGATGCAGGCAGAGTAGTAATATAGTACTTATTCTAGGGCCCACCAGCCCTGGCTGGCCAGCAGTTACATCTATATACTGTAAATATCTCCAAACTGGGTTTAAAAATAGGCAGGGGAAAAAAAGGTTGCTTTTTTCCTCTAATACAAACAGCTCAGTTTTTATGTGACTTGAATGCTTTATGGGGTGTGAGGTGAAGTTGCTATTCCTCTTTCACGCTCTCTCTTCCTCTCTCCCTCCATCTCTCCCTCCATCTCTCCCTCCTTTCATCCCCCCCATATAGTACTGTAGTCTACGACAGGGAACCAGAACTGAGGAACATGAAGATAACTACCAACTGTGGTGCATTATGGGTATCTAAAGCACCTGGTGCAACACTAACACAACATAACAAAATCCCTTTTTCATTAAGCCTATGTCGAGAATATGGGCATTTTCAATCTTCTCTTCTACAGTATTGACCTTACCTTATCTAAGCCGAGACTTAGATTGTGTATGCATACAGTGCATTCGGTATTCAGACCCCTTAACTTCTTCCACATTTTGTTATGTTACAGCCTTATTTTAAAATTGATTACATATATATAAATCCTCATCAATCTACACACAATACCCCATAATGACAAAGCAAAAACAGGTTACAAGACATTTTAGCAAATGTATTAACAATAAAAAACGGAAATACCTTATTTACATAAGTATTCAGACCCTTCAGCTCAAAATTGAGCTCAGGTGCATCCTGTTTCCATTGATCATCCTTGAGATTTTTCTACAACTTGATTGGAGTCCACCTGTGGTAAATTCAATTGATTGGGCATGATTTGGAAAGGCACACACCTGTCTCTATAAGGTCCCACAGTTGACAGTGTATGTCAGAGCAAAAACCAAGCCATGAGGTCGAAGGAATTGTCCGTAGAGCTCTGAGACAGGATTGTGTTGCGACACAGATCTGGGGAAGGGTACCAAAACATTTCTGCAGCATTGAATGTCCCCAAGAACACAGTGGCTTCCATCATTCTTAAATGGAAGAAGTTTGGATCCACCAAGACTCTTCCTAGAGCTGGCTGCCCGGCCAAACTGAGCAATCGGGAGAGAAGGGCCTTGGTCAGGGAGGTGACCAAGAACATGATGGTCACTCTGACAGAGCTCCAGAGTTCCTCTGTGGAGATGGGAGAACCTTCCAGAAGGACAACCATCTCTGTTGCACTCCACCAATCAGGCCTTTTTGGTAGAGTGGCCAGACGGAAGCCACTCCTCAGTAAAAGGCACATGAAAGCCCACTTGGAGTTTGCCAAAATTCACCTAAAGGACTCTCAGACTCAAGATTGAACTCTTTAGCCTGAATGCCAAGGGAGACTAGTCAGGATCGAGGGAAAGATGAACGGAGCAAAGTACAGAGAGATCCTTGATGAAAAGCTACTCCAGAGCGCTCAGGACCTCAGGCTGGGGCAAAGGTTCACCTTCCAACAGGACAACGACCCTAAGCACACAGCCAAGACAAAGCAGGAGTGGCTTCAAGACAAGTCTCTGAATGTCTTTGAGTGACCCAGACATTGAACCAGATCTAACATCTTTGGAGAGACCTGAAAATAGCTGTGCAGCGACGCTCCCCATCCAACCTGTCACAGCTTGAGAGGATCTGCTAAGAAGAATCTGAGAAACTCCCCAAATACAGGTGTGCCAAGGTTGTAGCGTCATACCCAAAAGACTTGAAGCTGTAATCGCTGCCAAAGGTGCTTCAACAAAGTACTGAGTAAAGGGTCTGAATACTTATGTAGTACCGCTCCCAAGTTTTTTAGTTTTTCAAAAATGTATAATAAGCTGTTTTTGCTTTGTCATTATGGGGTATTGTGTGTAGATTAATGAGCGGAAAAAAAACATTTAATCAATTTTAGAATAAGGCTGTAACGTAACAAAATGTGGAAAAAGTCAAGGGGTCTGAATACTTTCTGAATGCACTGTATGTGTGTGTGCATGCATGGATGTGTGTGCACAAGTGCACAATCTATGTATGCACCAATCTTTAAATAAAGTCTGAGTGTGATTCATTCAAGTCACGAAAACACTGAGATTTTGAGATGTACACATCTATTCCTCTGTAATCAATTTGAGGCCAAAGGTCGAGTGACTCAGAGCTTTTCAGAGGAAATGCACCAATGTGTTAGATTGGAGTCTGCAAGGTGTCAAAGTGACATGCTGGGCAGCGCAGGGCATAGAAGGAGGAATTATAGCAAGCCAACGTTAGTCACTGTGTACATTATTAGAAGGATGAGGAGGTTGGAGGTTACCCATGGATATGGAAAATGGTCACAAAATGGTTAGTGTTGATTTGCTGACTGAGTGAATGACTCAAGAGAGGTTTTAACAAGGGGTTATCTCGATTATTGTTGGCTATGGAGGCGGTGGTACAGGTCAAACGATAAAGATCACCAGAAAGTGGTGGAGGAAGAGAACTAAGGTCATCCTCCTCGCAGTAGAAGGGAGTGGGAGAACGCCGTAGGGTTTAGTCACTGGTTTCACAGGAGGCAGTTTTAGTATCAGAGGAAGTAGTATCAGCAGTAGCAACATGAGAAGCTGGCAGTTATAATGCAGACACACACTCTTATCTTCATTGGCATGCCACAGAGAGAGGGGGGGGGGGGGGGGAGAGAAGGAGGGAGGGAAGGAAGGATTTGGGATTGGAAGCAGAGTCCTGATAAAGAAAAGGTAAGGATTTGGAGCTGAGGGCGGTAGGGGGTGGAGGGGGTAGTGGGGTGGAAGCACAATCGTTGTTGCACACAGATTTTGTCAAGCAAG